ACCCTTAATTTAGGCCTTAGACGTAATTTCCCTTGGAGTCTAGTGGTAGCGGATGTTTCAATACCTATATTAGGTTCAGACTTCCTTTCACACTATCACTTATTACCCGATTGCAAAATGAAATGTTTGGTTGACAAGAAAACGGGATTGAATGCCGAGGGAATAGTTTCTAACAACAATCAAACTAGTATTAAAGTTATATCTTTCTCTTCGCCATTGGCAGAAGTTTTTTCTGAATTCCCTGATATTATTCGTCCTCCAGGCTTACCTCGTGCTGTGAAACATAAAACAGTTCATCATATAAATGTTGCACCTGGTCCTCCTGTTCACTGTCGACCACGTCGCTTACATCCTCAAAAATTGAAAGCTGCCCGGAAAGAATTTGAGGAGATGGTTAAGCTTGGTATTGCTCGACCCTCTGAAAGCCCCTGGTCCTCACCTTTGCACATGGTGCCTAAAGGTGAAAATGGATGGCGTCCTTGCGGTGATTACCGCGCTTTAAATGCTCGTACTGTTCCTGACAGATACCCTGTACCACATATTCAGGATTTCTCGTTCAATTTAGCAGGCTGTACGCATTTCTCTCAGGGTGTCTACTACATTCTGGATAAAAAATTCATGGACAATTCCCGTACATTTAAGGACACTTTGCCGTAACCTTTGTCGGTGTCATTAGGCCTACCGAATAATTTTCCTGATTTGTCAAACTGTATTAATCTTGTTATTCACTGTAGTTGTACCAGAGAGAAAAGTAAATAATAATAGATAAGAGTTAAAAATTACAAAATAGAAACTTATTGAAAGTAAACAAACATAGGCCTACCTATACTTTAGGTAAAGCTTTTATAGTGTAACAGAGAAACGCAATCATTGTCTCCTGCGATAGCGATAAGTATCTCCATCCGTCACGTAAACTGCATAGCATAGCTTATCCGATCCAGGCGGATTAATTTGGCATGATTCGCCCTGGCACAACGTTAGGTTCTCGACTACTTTTGAAAAAAAATCTTTAATGCATATTGTTACTCAATTCTTAGTACAAAATCAAGGTATGGTAGGCGGCTATTAATAAGCAATAAGCACAGAGTAAGATTATTGTATTTTCATTTGTAAAGTTAATATCGACACATAGAAATCATTAGTTGTTTATCTTAGGCTCAATTATATTTTCTTAATATATTTTACAGCTCTTTCAAGAATCAAAATACCCAGGCCTAAACCTAATTATTTAGGAGGGCCTATATAAACTGAGTACGGTAACAAACAATGAGGTTATAATAAAAGGTACTATCATCATTCTAGTTCATAAGATTTTGATTTCTTAAAGCATACAACTCAATAAATAAATATATGGGAAACAAAAAACATTGAAACCTGAATAGCCAACAATATAAGACAAAGATACAGAAAATGCAATGACATAATTTGAAACCAAGCAGGCCTACATAGTGATAAAACATTAATGCAAACAACAATGCTTGTGGTTTTGTCAATTTAAAGATAAAATGTCCATAAAAAAGGGGTTAACTTACAAAATAAGACTGTAGATTAGTTACATGTTTAATATGAAACCATAAACAGTTTTATGGCATTGAATCTTCAAACCGAAAGTACAAGTAAGAAGTTAAATTTAACAGCCATTATAAAGCTATTATTTTTTTTTTTATAGGTTTGGGATCTAATAATAATTACCCTAGTAATAAAAAAAGAAGTTGTAAAGGAATAAAAGTGATACAACTTTTACGAGCTAGCTGCTGAGTCAACAGTTCTTAGAAGTACTTGACTTGACACTTGATTGTCGTGATAAAATATTAATGGGTTTGAGATTGTTAATGGGATTTTTATTGCATAATTACTCTAGTAATAAATTATGAAAATGTAAACAAACATCTGATAAACCTTTTATGTGCTCCTAACCAACTAGCGATCAATAAAATTATGGCCCATTAAAAATTTAAGGACATTGTCTGGCATTTAAGGACAATTCCCGTACATTTCATGGCCAGTAAAAATTTAAGTACAATTCCCGGTTTTCCCGGTTGGTAGACACCCTGTCTCTGCCATTGATTTGACCAAGGCTTACCACCAAATTCCCGTCCACGAAGATGACATCCAAAAAACAGCAATCACCACTCCATTTGGTTTGTTTGAATTTCCATTCATGACTTTTGGCTTACGCAACGCGGGTCAAACATTTCAAAGATTCATAGATGAAGTTATTCACGGCCTTGATTTTTGTTATGCATATATTGACGACATTTTAGTATTTTCCCAGTCTGAAGAAATACATAAAGAACACCTAAGAATGTTGTTTGAACGACTTTCTGACTATGGAGTAGTTGTAAATCCATCTAAATGTGTAATTGGTGTACCAGAAGTTAAATTTTTAGGTTACTTAGTCTCATCTGCTGGGACACGTCCACCTCAGGAGAGAGTCACTGCTCTACAAGACTACCAGTTACCTCAGACAATGCGTGGTCTTCGCAGATTCTTGGGAATTATGAACTTTTATCGTAGGTTTCTGCCAAAGGCCGCTGAATTTCAAGCACCTCTGCACTCCCTACTTAGTGACGCTGATTCAAAAGGTTCCCTCCCTGTGCCCTGGACTCCAGAGACAGAAGAAGCTTTCCAAGCATGCAAGGCTAGCTTATCATCAGCAACACTATTGTTTCATCCTAAACCTGATGCTCCTCTTGGTCTCTTTACAGACGCCTCTGGAGTAAGTGTAGGTGCTTGCCTCCAACAGTTTGTCGATGACTCTTGGCAACCACTAGGTTTTTTCTCCAAGAAACTATCATCCAAACAGTGCATCTGGCCTGCATACTACAGAGAACTCCTCGCTATTTATGAAGCTGTGCAGCATTTCCGTCATCTCTTGGAAACAACTTCTTTCACTATATTCACAGATCATAAACCACTTATTTATGCCTTTCAACAGCGCCGTGACAAGTTGCCTCCAGCTCAGTTACGCCAACTTTCATTTATCTCTGAGTTTTCGACAGACATAAAGCACATCAGTGGTTCACAAAATATAGTTGCTGATGCTTTGTCACGTGTTGAAGCCATTTCAACTGTTTTAGATCATGAATCCTTAGCCAAGTCACAAGAGTCAGACGAAGAACTTCAAAATCTCATTTCAGAAAGTACTACATCTCTTAGATTGGAGAAAGTTCCGATTCCTGGAACCCATTTGAGCCTTATCTGTGACACCTCAACAGGAACTCCTAGACCCTTTGTGCCATCAGAACTGCGACGTAGAGTTTTCGACCAGTTCCACAAGCTGAGTCATCCTGGAATACGTGCCACAACAAAACTTATCTGCGATCGTTTTGTCTGGCCTTCCATTCGTAAGGATTGCCACAAATGGACTCAATCTTGCCTCTCATGCCAAAGATCTAAGATAACTAGACATGTTTCTACTCCCCTGGGTGATTTTCATACACCTACAGAACGTTTTTCTCATGTCCACATTGACCTAATTGGCCCACTTCCCTTATCAAAATCTTCTAGGTACTGTCTAACTATCATAGATAGATTTACTCGTTGGCCTGAAATTTGTCCTATTGATCAAATAACTGCCGAATCTGTTACTGGAGCGTTTGTCTCTACTTGGATAGCTCGATTTGGATGCCCACAAAAGTTGACATGTGATCGCGGATCCCAGTTCACATCGACTTTGTTTAAAGACCTAGCACGACAGTTGGGCATAAAGCTCCAGTTCACTACCAGCTGGCATCCACAAGCCAACGGTATGATTGAAAGACTCCACCGCCAGTTGAAAGCTGCTATAATGGCTCACAGCAAATCAGACTGGACCGAAGTACTGCCGTTTGTCCTTCTCGGAATAAGATCTGCCTTCAAGGAGGACATCACTGCTTCATCAGCTGAACTGGTGTACGGAGAACCACTGCGTCTTCCGGGAGAGTTTTTCGTAATACCTTCCCACGAGAGCAACGAGCCACAAGAATTGGTATCAGGGCTGCGTAAGCATATGAATCGACTAAGACCTACACCCGCATCACGCCACATTAAACCAGGGTCGTTTGTGTTCAAGAACCTCAATACTTGTGACTTTGTATTCCTCCGACAAGACAGCTTAAGAAAATCTTTACAGGCTCCATATTCTGGTCCTTACAAGGTCATATGCCGTGACGAAAAGACAATTACCATCATTGTAAGAGGCCAAGAAACTAAGGTATCTTTGGACAGGGTCAAGCCAGCCTATATTATTGCAGATGAAAGTCCTATTCCTGAGCCCACGAAACGTTTGGTGCCGACTGGACAAGCAGAGGAATCCTCAAAACTACCACCATCTTGTCAAACTCCATCTACGAATTCTTATACAACTCGTTCTGGAAGACAAATCCGACCACGGGTTACTTTTCAAAATGATGTATAGATTCCTTTTCTCCGTGGGGGGCTGGTGTAGCGTCAGCTGATGACGTTGTCATAGCAACGCATTAAGTTAGTCTGATCTTTGTTTTTCTACAGGAATGTACACACAATTTAACTCTTATTAAAATACTTTTCTATTACTTATTTGGTCGTAATTTTATTCTATGTACACGAACAACCACGACCAAATATGGATGTTTTGTATGAATTTGGAGTATTTATTTATAAATTAAACTGCTTAACAAGTGTTTAATTAACCTAACATAACTTGCATTTCACATTGACTTTTTTACATTTAGGTTTATTTAATGATTGTGTTTAGTTACGCCTATGCTTAAATTAAACTAAAGAATGTCATAAATAACTAAATTGTAGGTCGTTGATTGATAAATTTTGTGTAAATTGCATTTTAGGTTAATTTTATCACATCTCATCAAGGATGATCCCGGAGACATCATCATGGTACTCCACGATTGCAGAAAATACCTGAACAACCATGTGGTTAAAGAGACATCATCATCTCCTGCGATTGCAGGGGACAGACTATTGAGAAGATGTCTACCAAACATGATTTATAATCTTGAGAATAATAGCACTGTATATACCTGTTTCAGCTGGTTGTATATCATATTGAAAGTCTGGAGGAATGAGGATATTCTCGTTTTCAGTTTGTAAGCACGTTTCGGCCTCTTATAACACTGTTTGGCTGTGTCATCGATATGCCTGAAATAAAATCCATGTATAAAGCTAATGCTGCACTTCACAACATTGTTTAAAAGATATTGAAATATTTGTTAAATTTGTCTGTAGACCATATTATGCCATATTGTTAGCAACTAGTAAGCAAAGACAGTAAAAACTCACTCGTCAAAAGGTCAATTGGTCAAATATTACGAGTGCTAATCGGAGTGCAACTGGGTGGTGAAATAGCACCGAGTATTTACTTTCAAACCTAATAAAATTTAAAAAATGGGGATAGTTGGTGAAGTATGAGAGAGACTTGTGACTGTTACGTTCCTTTCACACTACAGAGTAAGAAACCGTACATACAGTTGTCCACTGTCACTGAACTGGACGGTAGATGTCACATGTAGTTTAATGTAAGCTTTCATGATGCAAGATTTTCTGTCATCAGGGGCCTACCAGCAAATAGATCAGCACTTTTTATTGTTTTACAATCTGGCTTGTAAATTTGACACCGTTTATGATTATCGTGACATTGTAAGCACATTCATCTTGAACGGCAAGATCAATGTAATGTACAAAAGAAACATAAGACAAGGCATAAAACAGTATGGTTTATAACCGACTGGTTCACCTTACAGTGTGAAAGAAACGTTAGGAGAGAAAACTGTGTTCATAATAGATTTCAATCTAAAAAGCCACAACATTTGAATAACATTTCTATCATCAATGCTGGAGGTGTATTTTTAACAACTTAGTTTCAAGATTTTACAAAATGAAAATATGGCAAAATAAATAAAAGGCCGTTTTTTTATATTTTTATTAAATAGCTAAATGAGGTAAAGTTCTGTGTAGATAGGCTACTCCAGATGTATAAAGCTTTAAAATGTTATTCATCCCTACAGTAAGAGATGGTAGATTTGAAAAACTGAATTTTCTCTTAATCAGGTCTCAGTTCTGATCAATTGACAAATGCTTTGAAAACCAATCCTCCACTGTAAATCATAAAATGATTAAAACTCATATAAACTTGGAAATCTACAAGATTAAATACTTACCTAAAAAAGGTAGATATCAATTCATCCAACTTTCTTATGTTTGGATCAAGGATTACATCCTTGCATTGGGCAGTGAACCTTTTTATCCATGGGAAGATCTGGCTTGTTCTGTTAGGAACTTCTTCCACATCTTCGTGGTCATCCAAGTCTCTAACTTTCAATTTTAAGCTTGCATTTGTTCGGAGAATTTGAACAATCTCAGACACAGATTTTCCTCCTGTAACTAAGTACAAACAAAATGTGACTAATTTAAGGGTAATTTAATTCAAGGGCAGCCTTTAACCATTGCCCTTGAGACCGGGGAGCTTGACGGTTAAGAGAAAAGAAATTCAACAAATTTAAACTTGTCTGATTACATTTTTACTAAAATATGCCTTATAGATTTCCATAAATAAGACATATTTATTCCCAATTTAAATAACATCATTAGATTTAACGAGTGCTTAGGTTTGCTGCTGCGGAGAAAGTAAAAAGTGTTTTTTGACCATAGGCCGTCAATAGTAGGATGAAATAAATAAAAATATTCCAAGTAACCTTAATAATAACATGGGAATTAAATACATTTTTTTTCCATAACCGTTAGGCATACAACAGAGCTTCAATATACTTAACTACTACATTATTTTTTTTTTTTATAAGCTCTACAAAATGATTTGGAAAGAAATTAAATTATTTTGTTTTTAGGGTCAAAAATGGGAAACCCCCATATTTAGGCCTACCCCATAAACCCCCATTCCCATCGTCCGATCATGAACTCGTTCGAATAACTGTAAGTTTACAGGTTTATACCGAATTCCATCAAAATCGGATCATTTTTGCTAGAGTTATCGTGCTAACGGACACATATATAAATATATATATATGAATTTGAACGGATTGTGTTTTTGGCCTCTGGGGACCTCAAAACGAAAAATCAAATCAGTCCCGGGTCCAGGTCTTACCATGAGACCGGTAATAGCTTATTCCCTATGGTATGAGAAATTCACTAAAAATTTTTGGTACAAATTAAACCCTGAACACATTATTTTAACTAGGAGAACCCGTCCTTCCTACGGGGTTGACGTATCAGTAAAAAATGCTTATTGCAGTTATACTCATGCTTTGTGTTTGCAGTGGAAGAGGACACAGGGTTTGAGAAAATTTGGTTCTTTTGATTAACGGAAGCTATAGTATTAACATATAGGCCTATACCATTGCCATAATGTTCCACCACTAGGTACACGTAAACAATAAAAAAGTAAATTATCAAAAATTATTCGCACAATATCAAAACATTATTTATAAATTAAAAACATAAAGGAACTTAACTGTAAACAATCCTACTTTAACAGTAGTTCTCATTGTGCATCACAGCTTTTTGTTGCGGCTTGGATCAAATTAGCTATGTTATCATAAATGAAAAAAAGTTAATAGTGGTGCACCCTGTTGGTGCACTTTAGGCCTATAACTTTTAATAATATTGAACATCATAGAGCAACTTGTCTAATCGAAACAGCTGACAAAAATCTTTTTTCCTTTAATCCTTTCGGTTCTAGAATATTTTTTTGTAATTTTCCAAAAAGTGATGAGTTATTTAGGCCTACTTATTTTGTCCGAAAAGTGCTAGACTTGCCACGCATGATAATTAAGTATAATGTCAATGTCTAATGTAATCAAGTCGCAAAGTCTAGTGTGCGAGAAAAATCAACAAAAATAAAATTTTTCTTCTCAAAAGCCTAAGGAACGATATACCTATTGGGCCTCTATCGTATGAGGAATCGAAAGAAACCATCGCTGTTTTGAAACTACAAAACTCACATGATCGAAAGTCGTGCCGACACGATGTATCGTCGCTTAGCGCTTTTCGGATGAATTGCGAACAACGATATATCGTTCCGTAGCACTTTTCGGGAAAAAGACGCACAATAATATATTGTTGCATAGCACTGAAAAGGTTAAAATATGAATACTCATTAGGTTAACATGTGGAAACTCCAGAGCTACTGGGGCGGAGCCCGAAATGGTTTTTGAGATAATAATATGTTAATCGGGAATGTGAGCTATTATCATACCAAATTTCAGCCCAATCCGACCAGTAGGCAGCTACTTAAAGCGTGATTGAACTTTAAACAAACAAACTTTCACATTTAGGCTATAATATTAGGTAGGTAGTAAGATTACTTTCATACAAGAGTAATATACAACTATTATTTTGTATGTTGTAGGCTACTTGTTCAATGTTTGTACAGTGAAATAAAATCACATAAATAAATCTAATAAGTAGGCCTACTGTAACGGGGTGGTGGTTATCAGAGACTTACGATTAAAAGGGTGACTATTAATCAATTGATTTATTAGGCTACGGTACCTAACTTAATCGACTGCCTAGTTTAATGTTTAATATTTGTTAGCGAATTTCCCAAAAAGGGAAAATTAAGTTATGCTATTACCGTAGGTCTTATGGTAAGACCTAGACCCGGGACTATAATACTTTTTCGTTTTGAGGTCGAGAGGACAAAAACACCATCCATTCAAATTTATATGGTAGGGTAGAGTGGGGGAATTGGGACCCGGGGGTAATTGGGAGCTATTGTAAATAACAAAATTGTAAATACGTTAAACTTTAGGCATTCTAAAGGGGTTTCATCACAAATTATTGGATAATTGTAATCTTGTGTTTGATGTTTAAATTATAAAAAAATTAAGCCGTGTTAGTATTTTGAGTTATTTTTTATGTTTGTATGAATTAATAACCATACCAAAATGTATTTTTTGACACATTAAAGGTTTAAGCAATAGTTAGGGCTTTAAAATTTTTTTAAAAATTAAAAATTAATTTTAAACATTTTTTTAAAAATGGGTCCCAATTACCCCGGTGTGGGGAAATGGGACCCATATTTTTTCATCCCACATATAATTAATATTAATATTATAATTAATCCCACATATAATTAATCAATAATTATATGTGGCTGCAGTGGTGATTATCATGTAGGCTATTATGTGTAAAAACAGGATTTTGAAGTAGGTCCCAATTACCCCAGCATGGAGTAATTGGGAACCAGTCTCATCGAGACGTAGGAATTGGCTAACTCAGGAACTCGCTAACTCGGTCGTGTGTCGGAACTGGCTAACTCTGGAACTGGCTAACTCTGGAACTGGCTAACCGTCTCAGTCAGGAATTGGCTAACTCCGGAACCCGCTAACTCGATTTTGTCTCGCGGCGGAATTCGCTAACTCTGGAAGTCGCTAACCCAGCCGCGCCCACTGCATGGAGCGTTGCCAACCTTGCACGACAAAATAATCGTACACTGCCGTATTTCAAAATAGGCTATCAGTGTCAATGAAGATACAGTAAACGTTATTGTTTTTTGTTATCAACTCCACTTTGAACAGATAACTAGCCCAAAGTAATTAAAAGACAATTAAAAAGTAATGAAAAAGTGTTTTTTTATTGAACTGTACAATGGCCAATTAATTAAATGTTTATGATTTTGATCTTAAACATAAATGCTATCAGTATAAAAAAAAATAATAAAATGTGAAAAATATTGAAAATTCTGTTTAATTGGTACTAAATAATTAAACATCTACGAAATTAAGCTAAAATACACGCAAGTTCTCAAACACGGAAAACAAATTTAATCGTAATGTCGTAATAAACCAAAACCATCAATTAATACAGTAATCAACCATTGTAACTTACATAACTAATTCATAGATTTAAAATTAAATGTTTGTCGTTGAATCTTCCAACTTACGTGTAAAAAATATGACATAAGTTATAGGTCGACCACTTAGAAAAGAACCCGCGCGCTAATGCTATTAACATTAGCGCGCGGGTTCTTTTCTAAGTGGTCGACCTATAGACTAAGTTTCATATCAATAATTATAGAATAGCTTAGGCCTAAATCTAGGCCTAATAGTTTAAACCAAAGCATTGTATGTCTACTAGTAAATAGTTGCCTAATTCTAAAATGTGTTGAATTTTTTAGTAATAATGTTACATGTTTTAAAACAGTTTTTAGATTGTACACCTATGCACCTCGCTGGTAAATAATAGGAGAAGATATAATAGGGTACATATAATAAAACAGAACAGGGTTATTTTAATTCACGATTCTTAATCAACGACTTGACGGATTTTCCTGATGTGAGTGTTGGGTTTCCTTTATATTGTTTTTATAATCGAGTGTATACCAAGCCATTGCTCGGTTCCCCGTTCCCCGGTACTGAGCTACTCAATAGACAATAGCTTTGTTTTTAGATAAGATCAGGTAGTTTTAGCTATAGCCACCATTCAGGGCCGATTTACCGAATAGGCAAGGTAGGCACGTGCCTAAGGCGCGAGGCAATTGGCTTCTTTTGGGGGGCGCCACAAAAATGGAAAAAAGAAAAAAAATTGTGGCCGTTTTTGCATGCGATCGCGGTAAACTGATAATCCCTTGCGGCCGTGAAGACACCTTAACAGTCTCCCACAATTGCGGCAAGATGTTAATTATTTACCGCGGTTGTATATACGTCATCATCGTCCGTCTCCCGCGATCACGTCAAAGTTCTGACTATTTCCAGCGGATGTGTGGACATGATTATCGTCTTCCTTGATCGCGGCAATATATGAACACATCCCGCGGTCGTTATGAGATTATCACCGTCTACCGCGAATGAGGCAAAATTGTAATCTTTTCCCGGGGTCGTGTGGACATTATCATCTTCTTGCGTGATCACGATAAAATTCTGAAAATCCCTCACAGCCGTGAAGACATCATTGCCTCCCGTGGTCGTGAGGCATTGTCATCCTCTCCCGCCATTGTGGCAAATGGTAATCATCTCCCGCGGTTGTTTGGAGATCATCATCGTCTTTCACGAATGAGGCAAATTTCTGATCTTTCCCGTGGTTGAGTGGACATTATCATCGTCTTACGCGATTGCGGTAAAATTCTGATCATCCCTCGCAGCCGTGTAGAGTAGACATCATTATTGTAACTCCTGCGATCCTGTAGACATCGCAATCGTCCCCCGCTGTCTTGAAGACATCATATAATCGTCTCCCTCGGTCGTGAAGACATTGTAATCGTCTCCCGCGATCGTGAAGACATCGTAATCGTCTCCGCGCGATCGTGAAGACATCGTAATCGTCTCCGCGCGATCGTGAAGACATCGTAATCGTCTCCCGCTGTCGTGAAGACATCGTAATCGTCTCCCGCGGTCGTGAAGACATCGTAATCATCTCCCGCTGTCGTGAAGACATCGTAATCGTCTCCAGCTGTCGTGAAGACATCGTAATTGTCTCCCGTGATTACGGCAAAATGTTAATAATATCCTGCAATTATGTGGATATCATTATCGTCTTCCGTGATCGTGGCAAAATTTCTGACTGTTTTCCGTGGTTGTGTGGACCATGATCATATCCCGCGGTCATTTAGTCATTATCATAGTCTCGCGCGATCGCGGTAAAATCATCATCATATCCCATGGTCGTTTAGACATTATCATCGTATCATGCGATCGCGGCAATATTCTGATTATCCTTCACGGCTCTGTGGATCTCATTGTCGTATTGCGCGATCGCGGTAAAATCATGATCATATGCCGCGGTCGTTTAGATATTATTATCATCTCATGCGATCGCGGCAAAGTTCTGATCATCCCTCGAGGCCTTGTGGAGACATATTATCGCCTCCCGTCTCCCGTGGTCACGGAAACGTCACTGTTGTAAATTGACAATTCCAGGTAGAAATAGAAAATTAACACATAATTCCTGGTTCAAAAAAATGCACGCTTAGTTCCCGGATTTCCCGGTTGGTGGTCACCCTGTTATATATTGAAAGGGGCGCTACTATTAGTTGTGCCTAGGGCGCTGACATGGTCAAAAACGGGCCTGCCACCATTCATAAAAATGTAACAAACAAGAACGCCTGGTAGTGGCGGTTCCAAGGGGGGGGGGTTACCCCCCCCTTGGACCCTGGAAAAATAAATTTAAACGTACAGTTCGCCCTTAAAACACGCAATGTCATAAAACAGACATCAATGTAGATTTTATTAAACTTAATAAGCGATAACAGGATGTAGTATTAAGTTCCACATAGATCAACTTTGTGGACAATAGCACCGCAAATAAAACAATATTACGCAATGGAAAGTTAGTTATACAGAGGTGGCTGTGGTTATACGCATCATCCAATTTTTACAGCAGTCAGCTGTTGACATGCTAGGGCAAAGGCAAGCGCCGAGCGCGCGAGCAAGGACCATACAAGGACGGGAAAACAGCTGATTTCCTGATGTTCCATAGGCCTAGTTGTCAAATTGTCTGCTAGCCACTAACTTTACACAGGCCACAGGCATCAATCAGCAATCAGCGGTAGCACCAGTAGCCTTTTACCATTTACTAGGCTATATTAACACTAATGTTAAAGTTTTGTATAGTCAATGCTATTACCGGTACTGAATTCGATACTCTAGGAATACATATTGTGACAGATCTATGAAATGGACTGTAGAAAAACATAAGTTTAAAAAACGTATCTACTTGCTTGCATGACATATAAAAAGCATAGCCTATAATAGGTGAAATGGAAGGTTTTAGGATAATAATTATTGAGCACAGTTCTAGCCGTTAGAAATGGCCATATAAAAGTGACCAAACGGTTTATTTTTAGGAGATATGGCTTCGTAGTCTACAGTAGGCCTATGTTTTGAAATTCATGAATGCAAGTTCGTCATAGTTTGATTTTTAAAATGTCTACCTACTTGCTCATGACATTGTGACTGTCTAATGTTTGTTAGTACCTAGGCTAAGTTATGCATAGGCCTATTGCTCATTAACTTCTTTAATGGTCCAGAAAAAAGCTACTATAAGTTAGTTTACTTGGGTCTTAATGAAGAGTTTGTAAATTAGCCTATAAATAAGTACTTACTAGAAGATTCTTCATTAAACAGTGCAAAACTAGATTCCGACATCGCTATGGCCTATTTCGTTGGTCTGATCTAAGTTAGTCTCCTCCATGAATCGTTAGCAACTTCATGATTCAAATTATGTAAAACCAAAACCCAATGCCGAGATCACGACAAGTTAACGAGGATAAAAAGTTGCAAAGCGACGGGTCTACCTTTTAAATCACGATTTTTAAAGGATTTGTTGATTTGCACAATTTCAAAGATGGATGCACTCGCACTTCTCTTCTCACTCTCACTCCACTCTAAACTAAACTAGTAAAAACTACACTCACCACTCTCAACAGTCTCAACCTCAACCTCAACCTCAAGCTCAAGTCTCAACTCAACTAAATTATTTTTTTACTTTTTTTTCCTTGCCGATAAGATGATCTAGGGTTTTTTTTAGCCATGATACCTCAATGTTTTCCGTGGTTGTCCATTAGTAAACACAACTATTATTTTACGGATAAGTCAAAAGACATAGCAAATTTATATATACAATACAGGGATTATATATCCCACAGTCTAGGATGCTTTCTTTTGTCTATACTTTCCGTTACTCATATTATACAAAGCGTATGAACTAAGCGTTGACCTTAACTAACAGTCTGTAATACATATTATTAACACAGTTGTGCTTACAGATTTTGTAGGTTTATCTTTATGGGTAAATGTAAAACGTATGTGATAATGTACGTATATCTATAAGACAAATTATACGTAGATTGTATGTACATTATACATTTTGCTATATAAATTGTACGTATATTTTACGTATAAACAGTGAACGATAATGGACCAATTTATATTGATACGTATAATCTACGGATATTTTATGTCCATGTATACCTTAAATTGACGTATATCGTATGTCAACAAGTGGGACATTTGAGCGTATATTTAACGTACATTTTACGTAACCTATCTCTCTGATATACGTATCGTAGATCTAAGTTGAACATACATTGTATGTATAATTTACGTATAAGTGCTGACTGAGCAATTATTGATAGTATTTTTTGATTTTTGGAAATGCTTAATAACTTCAACCAGGACGTGATTGAGCTATGCGAACGAGATCATCTTGAAAATACTGTCATTAATAACCATGAATGAAAATAACCATTAATAATTAAGCTAGCATAACCTAGCATTAATATAAGAGCAATAATAACGAATCAGTTATCCTTTGTACTATAAGTGTTTCATTAGTTGTCGTACGTATTTTAATTTAGTTATAAGCACTTCATATACAATGAGACAATTAAACGTTACGGTACTTAAATTATAAATAGTCAAAGGCAAGACAACGTCTGCCGGGTTCAGCTAGTATATAAGTATAAAAGAGGATGTTTTGTATATTTGGCAGTGATAAACTCGGACACCGCGGAACCGATTGCCACGAAACTTGGTACATACGTGTAGAATTTCATGGAATAGGTTTATACACCATCAATTTCGTGATCCGTCCAATCGGCTCCGCCCCAGTGGCTCTGGAGTTTCCCATGTTAACCTTATGAGAAATGGTATTAATGAATCTTAACAGCTGTTTCAATTAAACAAGTTGGTTCTGTTCTACGATGTTCAATAGCATTGAAGTTACAAGGATTACCAACAGGGTTCAGCACTATTATTTCTTTTACATTTATGACAACAGCTAATTTGCAACCAAAAGGTGAGTGAGCATATAGCGAACGAACTTCAACCTGATGGAGGCGAGTTAGCGTAGTGAACGAGCTAACCTGAAGGCAAGTGAGCGCAGCGAACGAGCTCCAACCTAAAGGTGAGTGAGCGTAGCGAACGAACTTCAACCAGGACGCGATTGCGCTATGCGAACGAGATCATCTTGAAATTTAAGAAGTTAAACGGGGCAAAGCCCGCGGGTTACAGCTAGTAATATCTATAGACAAAGCCCTCACTGACTGACTGACTCACTCACTCATCACTAATTCTCCCACTTCCCATTTTACTAGGTGGCTGAAATTTGGTACACTTTTTATTCTGATCGGACTCTCGGGCTCCGCCCCAGTGGCTCTGGAGTTTCCAATGTTAACCTTATGAGTACTCTTAAATGGAATGAATCTCAACAGCTGTTTCAATTAAACAAGTTATGGTTCTGTTCTATGATTTTTGAACAGAACTTTTTTTTTAATAGTAAACATTTATTCAATTTTAACTTATATCTTATTTATATTATCAGCAAGTTTGGTCGGTTAGGTTAGGTTATGACAGTTTAATTTTATAATACTAAATTTTGAAATTCATTTTATAATTAAAAATTATAAGTTAGTTTTAAAAGATTAATTTATTTTTATCCAATATATTTTTTTGTATCATCAGCAAGTTTGGTTGGTTTGGTTAGGTTATGACAGTTTAATTTTATAATTTAAAAAATTAAAATTTATTTTATAATTAAAAATTTATAATTTATTTTATAATTAAAAAATATTTTATAATGAAAAAGTTAGTTTTATAGCTAATAATAAAAAAAACATAATTTAATTTTTCACAACTTAGCGGTTCTAGGGGCGAACGGGCGAACGCTGACACTACAGTGGTTGTTATTTATCATATAGGCATAGCAAGGAAATAAAACTTATTAGTAGTTCATGAAATGCAGCAGGGGAAGTCCTCTGAATATAGAAAAATATTGGGGGGAGCTCCTGTTGTCCGGGTATTTACTCAGGGGAGGTATAGAAGAGGTTACGATGACAGCTGCGGGCTTCTCATTAGCAGAGGGAACGCCATTACCGTAACAATACGATCTGTCGCCATCGGCCTCGGTGGTCTAGTGGTTAGCGTGCCGGGTTAATATGCTGAGGGTCCCGGGTTCGAATCCCGCTGATAGCATGAACTTTTTGTCCAAGATTTTTTTCATTATCAGCAAGTTTGGTTGGTTTGGTTCGGTTATGACAGTTTAATTTTATTATTAAGTCATTATACAATTTTAATTGAGCAATTTCTAGTTTTATTTAATAAACAGAATTATTTTTTTCTATTACTAAACTTTTGTTATAATATTTCATTATCAGCAAGTTTTTTACTACAGCGCTGTTCACGGAGGAATTTTGAACTAATGCCTCAATCGTACCTCCCCTAAGTCAGACCCTGGTGTCCGCGACGCACGATTTTTATTTCAGCTGCAGTTTTTTAATACGGACAAAATGAGAGTTTAAAAATAAGAAATTAAAAAAAAATATTGTAGGCCTAAAACTAAAAGAAATATATACTGTAGTCCATTTTGGTACTTACGTATTATACGGAGGCCACTTATTTTACAGCGCGCTGCGGCGGTTAGGTTAGGTTGGGTTATCATAAGTTTTTATGACTCATCTCGTATAGTTCGATTCATAACGAAACTAGGAAAGTTCTACAAACATATTTATGATAACCCAACTTAACCCAACCGCCGCAGCGCGCTGTAAAATAAGTGGCCTCCGTATAATACGTAAGTACCTTAATTTTTAATTTAACTGTCATAACCTAACCTAACTAACCAAACTTGCTGATAATGACAAAATTGAATGAAGTATTACTAATAGAAAAAATAATTCTGTTCATAAAATAAAACTATAAATGCCTCAAATTAAATTTTATATTTTTTCATTAAAAAATTAAACGGTGATAACCTAACCAAACTTGCTGATAATGAAAAAATTGAATGAAGGTTTACTAATCGAAAAAAAGTTCAGTTCATTAAATAAAACTATAAATAGCTCAAATTCAATGTTATAAGGTTTTAATTATAAAATTTAACTGTTATAACCTAACAAAACTAACCAAACTTGCTGATAATGCAAAAATCTTAGACAAAAAGTTTGTGCCCCCGATGGGTTTCGAACCTGGTACCATAAGTTTCGAAGCCCGGCACGCTATACTCTAGACCACTGAGGCCGTTGGCTTCATTTAGTTGCATTGCGCTAATGGTGTTCCCTCAGCCAATAGAATGCTCTCATTTTGTTCTTATTAAAATAACTGCAGCTGAAATAAAAATGTTGCGTCCGCGACTCAGTTTTGTCGTCCGGCCAAACCAAACTATGCCTCATGCCACTCAGAGGCAAATGGGAGGGATAAATGGTATCTCTATCTTATGCCTCGCCGACCGCACCGCTGCGGAAACTAGAGCGGTAGAGTCTTACGGCGTTGGACCTTGGTATGATAACTCCCACTAGTCACTAGTCCAACTGCACTATCCGCCAAAAAAGCCTTCAAGGCCAAGGCTCAGAAAAATCCATAAAATCCTCACCCCAATTTGGCGAAAAATCTAAAAGTGGCAACATTAACATTGTAGCTGCTCCGTGTTTCGTTTTTGTGAATTTGTGATTGTGAGTGAAAGAAGAGTAAGAAGTCTTGTTCATGTTTTTTTGGCTCCATGGCTGGCTTATTTTATCATAGTTTCTGGTGTTTCTACTACAGTTTCACTTTAAAGTAAACCTTTGTTTAAAATAACTTTTATGGTTTAGAGGAAAATTAATAAAGTGCTTCTTTCCAACGTGAGTCCAACGCAAAGATGGTAAGTGTAAGAGTGTAACTAACTTACAGTATGTTTTCCTTTTTCTTATTATAGGCCTAACCTATAACTTATCAGGCCTATAGGCCTAATCTATAACTTAGTCCTTAAACACATCCTAACTTTTGCAATATAGGCTAGCCTTTTTTGGCTATAGCCTAAGTAATCACATAACATCAAATGTTAGATAAAACATACTCCCTTGTGTTGCTTAGGCCCTAGTCTATGACTAAAACATGATGTAGGCCTAGGCTAACTTAATGGTAGGCCTAGGCTCATTGTAAAAAAATGGTGCGGAATGAGTAACTAATGGTGGTGGGCCGGAGGCTAGTCCAAGTGTTATGTCCATTCTGAATAAATCTCATAACTACTAACTTATTCGGAACAAACTCATCTAACTATTAACTAACAAATAGCCTACTTTTATTATACTTTATACATAGAGGATACGCGCATGGTAACTGGACATGGATAAGGCGTCCGGCAGTGACGTCACAGGGTTGTGAGGGCCCGGAACGCCATTACCACAACGATACGATGTATAGCCTTCGGTGTTCGTGGTGTAGTGGATAGAGTGCTCGGCTGGTATGCAAGAAGTCTACTCTTGTACTACCTGGTATACGAATCCCATCAGTACTTTATGTCAGAGATTTTTCTTTAAATGTCATTTCTTCCTAACTGTATGGTACCTACATCTTTTGTTAGAATTTTTGGCATTTATAATTTTATCTTATGAATAGAATTTAACCTTCATTCAATTTTTTCATTCAGCAAGTTTGGTTGGTTAGGTTAAAGGTTATGACAGTAACTGCCGGACCCCTAATCCACGTCTGGTACCGGACGCGTATCCTCTGCGTACTTTTTAACTTAGGCTAAGTAGGCCTTTTAAGTTAGTTCTTGACTTCCTTTAAACTTCTATCAAGCCTACATACTCATTGCTGGTTGTGTTCTGTTGTGATGGCTGTTTGGTCAGTTGAATTGACTGGAATTTGGAGAACTTGTAAAAATCTGAATTTTATTACCTTCAACCTAAGCTAAGTTTACTTAACTTACCAAGAAGTTTAGGCCTAGGCTAAATAGATTTTTTATTCCGCGCGTCTAGTGAGAATGTTGACAGATTGTGTTGATCCATAGCCAAGTACTTGGGCTTTACAGCACAAATTCATGTCTAGAGTACAGGATCACATTGAAACAGTTAAAATGTATTCAGTCAAATTGCAAAAACTTACATCTAATTGTGAGTTTAACTGTGAGTCTTGCCAGAAATCAATCGCTAATACACTTTTGCGAATACAGTTCATAAGGGGGTTAGTTAATAAAGATATCAGAGCCAAATTGCTTCAGGATAATTCATTTCTATCGTTTCAAGATGTCGTCAAAGCAGCGAAAGTGATGGAAATTGCTAACCATGAAAGTGATCTATCTGAATACTATGAAACTAAAACTAATAGGCCTAGTACAGTACATCAGATTGAGGATAAATACAAAAATGTATCAACTAAATCGCACATGACGTCAAAGCAGAAAACGCCTTCACCTCTTTTTGAGAGTCTTACAGGAAAATGTTATAGATGTGGTTCTCAAAACCATTGGGCCATTAACTGTGAGTTTGCTTCAAAGATATGTAACAAATGCAAGAAACAGGGACACTTAGCCAGAGTAGTGTTACTTTTGGTACGTAACCTAGCCTACAACAGTGATGTTAGTCTACTGCTTTCGCACCTTGCTGTCTGCTCCGTTGATTTTTACAAACAAAATCTAAAAAAATGGTTTGCCAACCGCTTGTGTTGCCATTTATCTTAAATAGAGCCAGTAAAGTGTAGGAGAAACCAAACATACATTTGAAACAGAGTTAAAAAATAAACTAGTTTTATTTTTTTAAGCCAAGTTTACACCATTTTGGAGAAACCGGGCCTTAATACTAATAACCTTGTAAGTTAAAAGCTCGCCAAATGCCTGATAATTGGAAAACTAGTTGACCAAATGATTTAAGTTTTAACCTAACTAAAACATAGGCCTACTGTAACCTTACCATACCCAACACATTCAGTTTTCCGACTATCAGGCATTTGGCAGGTTTTAGGAGATTGAGAACTTACGGTATTAGTTGTCGGATCGTAATGAGAAATCAGTTAGGTATACTGTTGATTTTGTTGTGAAATTCCACACAATTTGAGTATACCTACAACATTATTATTGGGCAAAAAAGTGTTTTCCGGGGAAACGGGACTTTTCCGCAAAAAATGACTAGGTCATTTTTAAAATCAGCGCTAAAAAACGAATACTGTATTTTGAAAAAAATAAATTTTTTGGGCGTAGACTTGAGTTTGACATATTTTATAACTTTATTTACTATGTGTTGAGTGTGTTTCTTTTTTTTTATCCTGTGTCAACGTTTAAAAACGCCCTAGGGTTATTCCATTCAGAATATACGGTATGTTTAAACAATTTTTTTGTCCTAGGACGCTAGCATTGATTATATATATAACACTAGTGTTATATAGTCAATGACGTTGGGCACGAGCATGAGATTGTTTTTCACATTACTTCAGGCTAGACCTAACTTAAGGATTGCTGCATTATCACTTAGATACAATCCATTGGTGATTTGGCAGGATTTTAACCAAGGACCTCGGGCTCCGAAGCCCTGCGCTCTGCCTCTAGACCAGCTCGCTCCCCATGAGTAAATTTTTACACTACAGACTAAAGGGATTTTACCTAAAAAATGGGATCAGTTTCACAGAGAACCCATGATGTATTATCAGATAAAAAGTGTAATACGAAATAGCCTAGGCCTAAATTAACTTAATATTGATGAAAATATTCCATTCAAGGTTTAAATGTTTAAATAGTTTTGGTTCCTGGTTATTGTTAACGGTAGGCCCATAAAAGAGGGCTGTCTACGTCACTCTTTTTCTGTTCGCTGCAGCGTATAGGTTAGGTTAGTTTGGATCTGTTTACCTTGTTCATAATAATGACAAACAAAATAAGTTTTCAGTATGCAACATTTGACCCTTTTATAAATTAACAAAAATTATTATTAGAATACAAATTGATTTTTGTTTTTTATCTCTCCCTTTCTTAACAAATTACATTAATCACACAACTTAACAATTTGTTAAAATAAATGTCAATCAATTTGTTATAAATGTTACCGGTACATTGTTTGTTATTTAGCAGATCTGTAAATTGTAAACATTGGGTTAAAATATTTTTCCATAATATAAAACAACAGGTTTTTAAAGGTGATGTCATAAATTTATTAATGATTGTGTTGTTGGACCGTTACACAGTAAAACATAACATTCGTTCTTATAGGAAAATGGCTCCTCAAAAGACCAAAGGTGTTGGCCAGAAGCAAAGGAAGATTGGAATAAAGAAGAGAAGGTCGTGTAAAAAAGGAAGAATTTATAAAAGTGAGATAAATTATGGACCTTATTTTTGTAAATTGCTGAAACAGATACATCCTGACTTAGTTCTGTCACTAAAAGCAGTAAATATATTAAATAGTTTTGCTTCGGATATTTTTGAAAGGATTGCTAAAGAAGCTGCCATAGTGACTAAATTTGCAAACATTAAGACTTTAAGCAGTAGAGAAGTTCAGACTGGTGTTCGCTTAGTGTTACCTTCAGGATTGTTGCCTCAAGCTACAGCACGTGCAACAAAAGCAGTTGTTGATTACTTCAGGGTAACAAAGTAAGAATTTCTTGTAGTATTCAAAACTTAAACGGATCAATTTTTGGTGTACTGGGAAAAATGTATGAAATGTTTGAAGCATAGAAGTCAATTCAACGACAAGTTGATAAAAAACTTTTAAGATAAACATTTCTAATTAATTTTAGAATTTGTTGGTTAATATTTGCATGATAACAGCTTGCTTGGGTTATAAATTGTACTATTTAGCCGACATTCTATTTTGGAGGTTTTCATCATACTGCTTCAAAGAATTTAGGTTTGGATATGATTGTGCTGAGGATTACCTTTTTCTTCTTTAAGATAAACAAAAAAATGCTTAAATAAATATTTTGACTTAAATATATAATATTTTTTTAGAACAGCAGCTGCTGCGGTTCGAAGTTTATGAAATGTTTATCATAAGGCTAGTTAGATCAAGGCAACACTAAATAAACAGGCCGTGATGCTCCTTTGGCATGACATCATCATAGGCGACTGCAATGACGTAATGTTTGCCGTTTGTGATCAGTAAATTACTCTCCAATGTAGTATCCTTTGTGTAACGCTTATCTGCAGCTTTTAACAAGTTAAATTAAATTGTTTAACTAAAATCCTATTCATTTGTTAACTCAACTACTCAATAAAAGGATTTTTTTATTTATTGTTAAATAACTTGAATTGTTGAAGTAATAAATCCATATAAAGATTTTTTACACAGTAATTTGAACACCTGAGACCTACTAGATAAACAATAATTTATTTAAACTAATTGATAGCAAATCATCCAAGTAGTAATTTATTATAGCTGAATTCTAACATCTTATGAAATTTCAGATTGGTTTATGAAATTCTTATCCTGTTATCAGTATGATGAAAAGAGGCCAAAAACTATTATTTACTTGCTTATTTAATTAAAAAACTGGGTACTAGTATAGCTTTTAACTTGTAAATTTCCTGTTGACTGTTGGTGTTGGTTATATATTTGCTTCCTATAATCTTGCCATTGGTACTTACTGTTGCTTACACTTGTTTTGTGTTATCTTTTTCAATGGATTCCCATATTTTTAAATTTGGCTATTATTTTTTATTTATAATGCTAAAATAAGAAAAATTGGTCGAAAATAAAAACAATTTTTTTTAGTGCTTAGGTTATAGGCCTATTATGAAAAATACCGAAAATAGTTTTGAAAAATCCGGTTATTGACTTATTTTAGTAATAGGCCTAATAACAATAACAATTATTATTATTAATGTTAATAATATAATAATTAAGTAATATTACATAATAATATAATAAATAATAATAAAATGCTTGCATAAACAAAAAAATGATCCATAACTCAACAATAAGTATCACCATGGTTACACTGCCAAGTGTAACTTTAAGTGTGCGATTCCCGCTAATCAGTTTTTTAACATTTTTAACTACTAAATTTGATATATCTTCAAAACGGTTTATGCTACACGATTCAAATTTTTACCAAGTGTTTAGAATGTTATTATCTAAATAATTAGGTAGAATCAATGTATGTCTGTTCTAAGATGAAAAAAGATTTTTTTATTTCCACAGAAAGCCAATTTATTTTATTTTTAATTACAAAATGACCCAAAAAAAAGTAATGAATCAAGATACAGTTATAATTCTACCTAAATATTTTGAGGGCATTATTCCCTGCAAACTGATGGTTTAGTTATTAAAATCCAATAATTAAAACTGAAGTTATATCAAATTTAGTTAATTACCTAAAAATACAACAAAACACAAAAAAATTAAGGGTGTACTTAATGAAAAAAAATTACTTTTAACTATGTTTATACCTGTTCTTATGTCTATAAAACACATGGCATAAGTTTGAAAGACATAAGTTAAGGAAGTTAGCATTTTCACTGCCATATCCCCTTAAAGTAGAAAAGACCCATGTTAGAAAAATATCATCTTGATACAACTAGAAACTTCAAAATGGCAACCATTTTAAATATTTAAAAAAAATTACAAAAAAAAGTCTGATTTAATGAAAAAATTTCATGAACACTTATTTAACATTTTTAATTCCCTATCAAACAATACCAAGTTCAAAAAGATCGAATAAGAAATAGCTATAAAATATTACGATTTATAGTTGTAAAATGGGGTAGAATAAGGATAAGCTGGCCAATTTTGATTTTTACAACTAAAATCTTAATTTTTCAGCTATTTCTTATTCGATCTTTTAGTGAATTTCCCATATAGGGAATAAGCTTTTACCACAGATCTCATGGTTTTGAGGTCTTCAGAGGCCAAAACACCATCCGTTCAAATTCATATATATAATTTTGCGTCTGTTAGTGTGATAACTCGAGCAAAACTTATCTGATTTTGATGAAATTTGGTACGTTCGTGTAAACCTACTTTTATTTGAACTAGTTCCCAAACCAGCATAATCGAACTATGGGATTGGGAGTTTATGGGGGGTTTTAGGGGGTAAAAATTGATTTTTCCCATTTTTGACCCTAAAAACACAAAATTTCATAATTTTTCTTCAAACGATTTTGTAAAGCCTAAAAAGGGAATAATTTTGTATATTGAAGCATTGTTGTATGCCCAACGGTTATGAAGATAGGCCTAATTAAAAAAATTTTAAATTTAAAACTCCCTTGTTGTTCTTATGGAGAATAAATAAACTGTTGTAATTCACTTATTTATGGATATGTTTTAACCAAATTTAGAAATTTGGTTTATTTAATAGCTACTAAGCTGTCAACATTTCCCTGTATCAGCAAACCTATGTACTCACTAAAATAAATGTTAATTAAATAGGAAATAAATCTGACAATTTTTAGAGAATATTTTAGTAGGTAAATGGAAATTCGCTTAGCCTGCAGGTTTGCTGTGGCGAGAGTATTTGAACTTGGTATCGTTTGATAAGGAATTTAAAATGCTAAATAAAAGTATTCTTGAAATTTTTTAATACAATTAGCCTTTTTTTAGTTATTTAAGATTTTAAAATTAAAATGGCTGCCATTTTAAAATCCTAGGATGAATCCAGATGAATTTTTTTTCTATCATGGGTCTCTTCTACCTTAACATACATACCAAGTTTCATAAAGATCGGTTGAAAATCTTTAACGATAAAAATGCTAATATGAAAAAAAAACTAAATGGCGAATATCTGGATAACAAAGCAATTTTGGAAAAAAATGTTAGTCTTGATTTTCTCTTTATTTTGACCCATAGAACCATTTCCCGGAGTTAGGCTGTTTCCTTACGGGACAATTGTATATAAACAATTTAAATTTTACTGAAGGTTATAACATTTCAAACGAAATAAAGAAATAGTTATTGGGATAAGTTAATAGTAATAGAATAATTGCTGACCAAGGAGGTGTTTAACTAAAACTTACCTAAACCCACCATGTAGGCTATATTTGTTGTAAATGTTATTAATTTGTATTTGGACCAAAACACGATACCTAAGTTTGTTATGGTAATAATTATTTTTCATTTTCAGCAACTTTGATATTCCAACCATGTCGGAGTGTGATGATGAAGTGGTATGGGTCAAGGCCCACTCCAAATCTCAAAACATGATTTACTACTGGAATGCCAAGACTCAAGAAAGTATATGGGAATGCGATTTTGTTGGAAAAATGACGGGACCAAAAGTAAAAATTCTTGACCAGACAAACTCTGCTACTGTAAGTATCTCTTGTTATTATGTCTGTAACTACCAAGAGACAAGTGTGCAGATTTTACATTTTAACCCTCCAACTGGCGCATAGTACACGATGTAGTTGCAAGGCATTTTTGCGACTGCAGACATATTTTAGAAAATTGGTTGAACATTCAACCAATATAGAAAATCTGCTGAACCATATACAGTACTTGATTTATGTGTCATGTAATGAAGAATTTGCAATTTTCAAAAGTATAAATATTTAGACAAGTTGTTTCAAAATAAAGGAGAAAAACTACAAAATCTTTCTTCAAAATTTTAAAGGAAAACTTTGTTTTTTGTGAACAGGTAATGATTTGGATTTATGTGAAATCAGAGGTGGTCAAAATTTTGGTAATTTATTTCCCTTTAGGCTATAGAAATGTAAAAATATTCAAAATAAGCAATTATTTTTTAGGTAGTTATGATGATAAAAAAGTGAATTCAACCGCTTTTTGCAAATACAGATTTTATAACAAAGCATATTTAACATCAAGCATTATAGCTAAGCTAATGCTCTACAAAAGTGTTTTTCCCATTTGGAACACTTATAAAGCTCTGTCCAACTCTATGTATCAATAGTCAAAGGTAAATACTGACATCTAAAAAACAATCTAAAGATTTAAACCTTAATGAAATAAAATATTGCCCCTATTAACTTTCAATATTAAGGATTTATAATATGATTTTTGTTTCAATTGTAATGTTTTCAAACGTCTTTTTAATTTAGACCCCTGAGTACACTTCACCTGAAAGTTTAAAGAAAACTCCTCAGAATACAAATCATCCAAAAAGGACTGAAAAAGAGAAGGAACATGCAATCGAAGAAGAGGACGAAGAATTCAGGGAAGCTTTGTTAGCGTACAATGAAGCCCGGAACTTTTCTTCTAATGTTTTTAGTGGGGGTCAAGGTAAGGATTGGTTTGTTACATTTGCTACTGGGAATTTTATGTTTTGCTATTACCATTGTCATCTTGTATTATCAAATATTTTATTGTGAGTGGGCCTTGCAATACTAGAAAAGGCTACAAATTACCACTGTATTTTTGGTTTTCACAGAGTTTCCGAGAGTATTTGGGAAGGGTGTTTGTGTACCAATCATCTCCCTTTTTGCTCTTGCAAACAATCTTAACCCTCCAAGTGTCTCTAGTTTTGGTCTTAATGTTCGCCCATTTATTGCGCAATCGCAGGGTTTTATTAAAATGTATCTTAGAAACTTAAAAACAATGTAAAGTATACTGTTTTATATATCATTTTGTTTGGAAAATTATGGGCTTCAATGTAACATATAAAACATTACAAAAAAATGTTCAAAAATTTTTGTGGGGTTAACATTTCTCAAAAATTATAAAATAAATGAAAAAAATTATGTTTGCGCTCAATAAATTGTTATAATTTATAGGTCTACAAATATTTTAAAATAGCCACTTTGTTCAGAATTTTATGAGGATTCCAAAAATATAATAATATAAGGAAGTAGGTTTGCAAATAAATAAGTTATGGGCAAAAAACAGATTTCGGTACATAGCGTTTAGCTAAGAATGCATAGCCTAACCATAGCTAGGAATCTGGCTGATAAAACCAAGCTGTTTACAAATACGCACGTCAGCTGTCTGCTACAATATTTTCGGAACTAAAATGAAAAGCGTATAGAAACAGACATCAGGAGAAAGCTCTGAATCTGCTGAAAAAAACGATACCTAACTCGATCCAGTTCAATCCGATTCAGTCAGTCCCAGAGCCGTCGCCGTAAACAGTATTTGTGAGTCGCAAAAGCGACACATAACATTACAGCGGATGTGTTATGAGTTGCTTTTACGACACATAACACTCGGAGGGTTAAAAGTATACCCCTACCCACAATGCCCCAATGGTTTGGATTTTGTTAGATAACAATCACGATCATTTGGTGTAGGTAATATTCCAACATTACCATTGTTCATTGACCATTCTAGATTTAATAAGATAACAATATAGACTTAAGAGAAGAAGAATTGATATTTTTTATTTGACGTTTTTGGGTTTCTTGGTTTTGTTGTTAATGTGGAGATGGTAAAAAGTCTAATTGAGTTCGCAATTTACGTGTCGTGCCGTCTTTGCAGTTTTTTTTGTGAAAGTCAGTAAAATATTCTCTTTAATATCTATATAATTAATACGCTACATGAAACTTTGTCGGTTGAACTCCGCCATTTCTTAACCGATTTTATCCATTGACGTCTCATTGGAAAGAGTGTGTCGCCTGGATTTTCAAACTGGCCTTACATTTCTGCAAAAGTCCCTTGGGTTCTGCCCCAGTGGCTGTTAAAGTTCCCATGTTATCCTTATGAAGAACATAATTGTTTACATTTTGATCAGCTGTATAATTTAATTGCTGTTATTTAGTTTTCAATTCAAAGTCTTTTAAACTCATTGGAAATTATGTTAACTTTTATTTTTTTTTAAATAACTACTTTACTTCTTTGCAATTGCTTGATTTTGAGCAATGTGTATACTAGTTTTAATTAATCGACGATTACCTAAATGATAAACCAAAGCCCCTTGTTCCCACCACCACCCGTGGCTTAAGTCAGGATCTTATTTGCCTGGCCAATTCCCCATGAAAATCTTTCTTCTCAGGCTTTGGCCACTCTAAATCCTTGTCCAGACACATTATGTGTCTAAAACCCTAAAAATCACACGACTCCCTTCCCCCTACCTCCCTTCAGCGATAGGGATCATTGGGATTCGCTCTAACCTTTTCTCTCTCCTTAATGGGGAACTTTTAATTCCTTTTCTTTCTTTGTTTTTGTTTGTTTCTTTTTTCAATTTAAAAGCCTATATGGTTCTTCCTATTTCCCTAGCTACTTTCCTAATTGTCTCAATTGTTTCCTTGTCTCTCATCAAGTTTTTATTTTTTCATCTAGCTAGACCTTTCCTATCGAGGACTTCATGCCCTCTCCTATTTACATCCTGAAGTGGACAATTCATAAATATGTGACTTGCAGTTTCTATGTCTCCGCATCTGCATACTTCCTCTTGTACTAAGTTAAATTTTTACAAATTCGATTGAAATATTCCATGTCCTGTGACAAACTGCGTTCAACAATGATATCTAATCTATCTCCCAATCTAGTTCCAGTCTCGTTCTGATGTTTGGCGTATATCCGAACGTTTACCTTTATTCCTCACTCTGTTCCCAGCGCATTTGCCACTCATTTGCGCATTCTGGCACTCTTGTTTTCCGATGTAGTCCTACTCGCTCACATGTCTTTCAAAATCCTAATTCTTTATTCAATAAGCATGGCTCCAGCCAAAACCCTAATTATATCATGCGATACTTTTTTGTATGATTTCCCTGCTTTCAACAAAACTCTTCTTTGCATACTCAAAAGTTTCCTTTTCAATCTTATCTTCCTAGCATCCTTACCCCAGAACTCGCATCCGTACAGCATTGCTGGCTAAACACCCATTGTACAGCGTCATCAAATGATCCCAGTCATGCGTCTACTGGTTCTAGCCTGCCCTGCTAATTTTGCAAGGACTCCTTTAATTTTCCCGCAAATTTCCTCCGCATGTTTTCAATAGTCATTCCTTTACCTACAGTCACTCCTTAATCAAACCTATTGACATATCAATATTCCTGATTAACACAAAAATGGCGTTTCCAGAAGTTTTGGGACCTGCCCATCCACCTTCCGATTTAATTAAATATTTTTTTGAAGATTAAAAAAAATTTTTAAACTAATATCAATAACGTCTGATCATTATTCTTGTGCACCTTTCATAAATAATCATACAGAAGAATGCAGGTGCCATCTCTTACAATATGGTTGTGTTGCTAGCCTAGTGGTTAGCGTCTCGGACTTCGTAGCGGGAGAGACGGGTTCCATCCCCGGAACATCCACAAACATTTATTCTCTCGTGAAATGCCACTGGCGTTAAACAAATTGATTAAACAGGATAAAAAATATTGTTCCATCGATATTGATATCGTCTACTCATTAAATAATATCCTGTAATTTAGTTTGAGTATTACTACGATCTAAAAAATCACAAAAAATAGAGTAACTGCTGCATTGTAAGTTGAATTTTAATATCATTGAACCATTAAAAACAAGTTTTGAAGTGAAACACCAATTTTCAAACCATAAAACAGAGTAAGTTTTTATCTTTTCAACAAATCTAATAGATCATTATCTTAGCACATATCATCCATTAATTTCAATTTTAATATAACCAGCTGTTTAAAATATTAGTGTAAATTTCAAAGTACTCATCTTTTCAAATTGAAAGAAACATTTTCACCATAAGAATAATATGGGAACTTGGAAGGCCACTGGGTCAGAGTGCTGATTGAATTTCAAATATTTTTTGTTTGATGGCAAATCTACAGGCTTCAAAACCTATCAATGTCACATTTACATGGTCGTCGGATGCGTTGCAGCTTATAAACAATTATTACAAAATTAATATTGGCCTATTAAAATTATATATAGATCTGGGTCAAGATTCTAATTGCTCTCAGTTGTCATGCAATGGAAGTGAAGGGAATTCAATTAAAATAGTTTATTCAAACATGACAAAGGCTTTTCTTATCACATAACCTCACAGCAAGTGTGAGGTTATGCAAAGGGCCGAAGATTTGTTTGGGTTTGATGCAGGGACATCAAACACACCTCCAATGAGGCCAGAAAAAAGGTAGACCTGGAAGAGAGTGTGTGCAATACCACAGGGCAAATTGTCTTGGCATGGATTTCAATGCTTTGGCTGTTGAGAGGGGAATGCCTCTCTACAACTCCTGGGAGAAGTACATCCTGGACTTATTGTTATTAACAAGGGTGAAAAATGAGTCGCCCCAGACATCGTCTCATATAGCCTGTGACTACCAGTACATAATTTTTTTATGTCCTGGATGGCCATCAGATACAAGTCACCGTGGTAACGAAGACAGACGGGCAAGGATGTGTCACCCAATTGCATCTACTGCCTGGGACGACTCGGTACACATAACTTTCTCTTGCTGCCCGCATTGGAAAAGGCCTTACCTAGAGGCTCAATGCAATGTAGGACTATTGTTGGTGTACACAATCTCAATGATAGAGGGTAAGGACAACCGTACCTTATTGTCGCAGTTCTTTCATGTTATTCACCAAAGCTTGGCTGGGTTGCAGTCTAAATCACCAAGAACTGAATGCCTGAAACGATGCAAGTGCTGAAGGCTTAATCAACATGTTGACCTGACCTGAAGAAGTGTGACAATTAATTCCAGGTCTGTGTTAAACAAAGCAAAGTTTTTTTTTACTGAATAGTCCGATCAATTCAGAAGCTTCACACTACAGATTGCGTCTGTGTAAGTAAAACATTTTCCCTCCTCTTCCTAGATTTGTGAAGATTTGCAAATTGTGTTGGGACAGTTTTTTTTAACCAGTTTGAGCTTTCAGGGTCCTTCACCAAAGATGAGTTCAAGTGTGATTCAACTTCAGATCAAAGTGTAACTAGTAAATATTCAACATTCACTCTGATTCAATCAGAAACAAATCAAGTGATAACAAAAGTCTAGTAATTTAGGGTAACAAGGACAGTAACCTCAACAATCAATAAGGCTTTTGTAACAAATGAATAATGGTATGTTGTGAGAGTACCTCAAAAACTTATCTACCATAGTTAATATTTCTTTCTAATCTTATTATTCATGATGAACAAAACGGAAATCTTCTCACTTTATGGCATAAAATGATGTAAAATCTTGAGTAACCTAGGGAGACAAATCCTCCATTATTGTTTACTAGCTGTACCCGCGGGCTTTGCCCCGTTTAACTTCACAAGTGAGCTCGTTCGTATGGCTCTATCACGTCCTGGTTGAAGTTCGTTCGCTACGCTCACTCACCTTTAGGTTGGAGCTCGTTCGCTCCACTCACTTGCCTTCAGGTTAGCTCGTTCGCTATGCTAACTCGCTTCCAGGTTGAAGTTCGTTCGCTACGCTCACTCACCTTTTGTTTGCAAATTGGCTGTAGTCATAATTTAAAAAAATAATAGTGCTGCACCCTGTTGGTAATCCTTGTAACTTTAATGCTATTGAACATCATAGAACAGAACGAACTTGTTTAATTGAAACAGCTGTTAAGAAATTCCTTTTAAATATGAAAACTCATAAGGATAACATGGGAAACTCCAGAGCCACTGGGGCGGAGCCCGAAAGCCCGATCAGAATAAAAACTACTTAGTTTTCCTATTTAACCCTCCAAGTGTAATGCGTCGCTGCAGCGACTCACGAACACTGTTTACGGCGAAGGCTCTATGACTGACAAAATCGGATTGAACTGGATCGAGTTTGGTATCGTTCTTTTCATTATATTCTAAGCTTTCTCCAGAGGTCTGTCTCTAAGCGCTTTATGTTCTCCGAGTTGATCGTAATTGTAGCAGACAGCTGACGTGCGTATTTGTAAACAGGTTAGTTAACCTCGGACCGATGACTGATGTGTTTTATTATGTTTATCATTGTTTTAGTGTTAAAAATCAAAAGTAGTGATATACGTGGTGCATTATAAGAAGATTTAAGTGATTTTGAAGGGCTGGTTGATGATCCTGAAGGAGTAGGTAGTGATATTGATGTTAATTATCAGCCAGATTCCTAGCTATGGTTAGGCTATGCATCCTTAGCTAAACGCTATGTACTGAAATCTGTTTTTTGCCCATAACTTATTTATTTGCAAATCTACTTCCTTATATTATTATATATTTGTAATCCTCATAAAATTTAGAACAAAGTGGCTATTTTCAAATATTTATAGGCCTATAATTTATACAATTTCATTGAGCGCAAACTTATTTTTTTTTTCAATTTTTCCAAAATAATTTTTATTTTTACCTAAACAATTTTTTTTAAAACAAATATTCCATAGGTTTTATGTATGATATTGAAGCCCATGATTTTCCAAACAAAATGGTATATAGAACAGTAGAATTAACATTGTTTTAAGCTTTTCAGATCCGTTTTAATAAAACCTTGCAAATGCGCAAAAAATAGGCGGACATTAAGGCCTAAACTATGGACACTTGGAGGGTTAATGCCCAAAGAATCGGTGTACCGAATTTCAGCCTCCTAGGTAAATGGGAAGTAGGAGAATTAGTGATGAGTGAGTGAGTGAGTGAGTCAGTCAGTGAGGGCTTTGCCTTTTATATATTTAGATTACCTGAAAGTTCTTATTATGTTGCTTTTGCTCCAACATTTGACAGGACACTACTAATTTTACTGTTAAAATTTCAGACGTAAGCAGACCCGCTCATCATACGAGTCCTAAAGTATTGTTACCCGAAAGGAAAAGTCAAGAAAAGGAAGTGCTTGAAAAGCAAAATCTCAGTAAGTTAGTTAATACTCTTGTCCATACCCTGATTACCATGTCGCTTCAAAGTTATACTAAACATTATTTGTTTTCTTTCATCGTGTTACAGTTTATTTAGTCCAGATGCACTGATGGTGTTTGAAATGTTCTATGTGTTAAAATATTGATTGAATGGTTTGCGATCGTTCTTGTCATAGTGGTCCCGGATCTCCAAAACACAATATTCCCATTGTTAAAACCACTAAGACCCATCCTTGATTACTAAACAATAGTAACTCAAATTAAGTGTTGACACTGACTATAACACTGAATTCCTGACTCCTAAATTGCACTACCCTTCCCAACACTTAATAACTATTACTTACTTACTTACTTACTGGAGTGGCCACTGGTGCCCTGAGAGGTACTTGGCCTCGCCCACACACTGCCTCCAGATGTCTCTGTCTTTGGTGTCATTTTCACTCCTTCCCAGTCTTCTTACATCTTTTTGTACTTGATCCTTCCATCTAAGTTTGGGACGGCCTCGTGGTCTCCTGCCTTCGAGGTTTCTATCAAGTACATTTCTCGTAGTGGAGTCTTCCTCTCTTCTCAAAATATGACCAAACCATCTCAATCTTCTGCTCTTGACTTCTGCTATGATGTCAGGGTCTTTATAGCACTTTTTATATTTATACTTAATAAGTATTAAATTTAAAAAAAGTATTTCAGGTTAGCCATAGGTAATTTAATAGAACACATATTTTATCAAGGCAAATTTAACTATTTATAGAGGAACCATTGCAACTTTGCACAAAAATATGAAATAGCCAGTTTTCTTTTGTGAAATGGCCTGATTGCATTTAACTTAAACTATCAAATAAATATAATAAATTATTATTGGGACATTTCCTTATCTTTTCAATGCAACGATTACAAGAGGCTAAAACCTAAAACCTTATCCATGGGGTGGAAATTGACACTAGGTTGAAGCCCTGACTTGATGCATACATTCATTTAATTGCATAAGAATTTTAAATCTAGCATACATTTTTTCAGACAATAATCAACCTAGTTGTTCAAACGCGGTTTTGAACAAAGATGACAAAGCAAAAAAACTCAAGGAATTTAGAATCCCAAAACTCATTGGTCCTGGCAAAGCACAACCTGGTGAGTAGACTTAATTTAAAATATCTTATTTGCTTGTTAAGGAAAAATGTAATTGTTTCATGACTTTAAAATATCTTATTTGCTTGTTAAGGAAAAATGTAATTGTTTCAAGACTTTGCCTGATGCACAATCTCTGTAGGAAGGGGGGTTTCTGGGGTATAAATTGTTTTTCCCATTTTTTACGGCAAAAACTTAAAATTGTTCAATCCCTTTTCAATAACTTTTGAAGAGATAAAAAAAATTGGTATAATAATACATTTTATACCGGTACACTTAGTAGTTAGAGAGAAAATAAAAAAAAACTGTAAATTATTTATTTCATATTAGCTGTTATTACTTAACAGTACTCACATTTCACTAAAAAAAAACAATTTTTTAGCTTCTCTGTAGCAGGTACTTGTTGAACTATTTTTTTTTTTTTTAAATAGGGAATAAACCTGACATGTTAAGGAAGATTTTTATGGAGAATATATTGAGACTGATAATTGAATGGGAATTTGCTTAGTCTGCAGGTTTGCTGTGGCAGGGGTATTAGTTTTATCAGTCAGCAGCTTTGAGCTAATTTATTTGGACCTAAATGATTTAATGTTGAATATCACAATATTTTCCATCTTGTAATATAGTTTAAATTACTTAATGGTCCTAACACTATACAATGGCGCTTGTTAATTAAAGTGGTTCACACTAACTCAATATTTTCATTTTTGTGGTAAATGAGTCTGTACAGGCTGAGGAGGAGATAGCTTCAATTGTGCGACTGTGTAGCATTGTTGTATCCTATTATTCATATCAACTGACTTTTCCTACAGTTACCTAACAATGTACATGTTCTCTCACTGATTTGAGAAAGCAAAGTGGCCAATTCGCTCATCAGTGAGACAATGTTAACATTGTCTCACTCTAATTACTTTGTCTCACTCCAGATTTGCAACGTGAAGGCACGAAATAGTGAGCGCGTAACATGCAGGCAACGTCGTATGCGCGCGAAATACGTTGGCAGCACTGGCTGTAAATCAGCTGGTCAGCTGTTGTACTGTTGTAATTGTCACTTACATTAAATGTTATATTAAAAATTCACTTCTGTGTAAAAATAGGTTATGTTTCTTCACAAATTTATTTGTTTTATGGTAACTGTAGGAAAAGTATAATGTGCAACTCGAGTTCAAAGTACAATTGCCTCACTCGAGAAACCATTCCTCACTCGCCTACGGCTCGTGAGTAAGGATTTCTCTCGAGTGAGTCAATTACTCACTTTTCTCACTAGTTGCACAAACTATTACCATACTCCAGCTGACTTTTCCAGCCCCTTTCTGTAAACCACTTCCTGGACACAAAAGAGTACAGAAATAAAAGTCTTACAGTGAAGTGTGGTAAAACATTGTTTTGCACATTTTAATTTAGAAAACCAATAATATCATGGTGTCTACTCTCCGGGAAATTCGGGAAAACCGGGAAAACTCCGGGAATTTTATCTTACCTTGAAATGTCCTGGAAAACTCCAGGAATCCACCCAAACCTCCGGGAATCCACAGCCCGGTCATCGGAATCGTCGGCTAACCAAACACTACCGCTTTTGTTGCCGAAATCGCGGGAGACGATTGCGGTGTCACCGAAACCGCAAGATATGCTCACGGGTATTGCCGCGATCGCGGGAGACGATTATCGGTGTTGCCGAAACCGCAGGATATACTCACGGGTATTGCCGCGATCGCGGGAGACGATTATCGGTGTCGCCGAAACCGCAGGATATGCTCACGGGTATTGCGGCGATCTCGGGAGACGATTATCGGTGTTGCCGAAACCGCAGGATATGCTCACGGGTATTGCCGCGATCGCGGGAGACGATTATCGGTGTCGCCGAAACCGCAGGATATGCTCACGGGTATTGCGGCGATCTCGGGAGACGATTATCGGTGTTGCCGAAACCGCAGGATATGCTCACGGGTGTTGCCGCGATCGCGGGAGACGATTATCGGTGTTGCCGAAACCGCAGGATATGCTCACGGGTGTTGCCGCGATCGTGGGGGACGATTATCGGTGTTGCCGAAACCGCAGGATATGCTCACGGGTATTGCCGCGATCTCGGGAGACGATTATCGGTGTTGCCGAAACCGCAGGATATACTCACGGGTATTGCCGCGATCGCGGGAGACGATTATCGGTGTCGCCGAAACCGCAGGATATGCTCACGAGTATTGCCGCGATCTCGGGAGACGATTATCGGTGTTGCCGAAACCGCAGGATATGCTCACGGGTGTTGCCGCGATCGCGGGAGACGATTATCGGTGTTGCCGAAACCGCAGCATATACTCACGGGTATTGCCGCGATCGCGGGAGAAGATTATCGGTGTTGCCGAAACCGCAGGATATGCTCACGGGTATTGCCGCGATCGCGGGAGACGATTATCGGTGTCGCCGAAACCGCAGGATATGCTCACGGGTATTGCGGCGATCTCGGGAGACGATTATCGGTGTTGCCGAAACCGCAGGATATGCTCACGGGTGTTGCCGCGATCGCGGGAGACGATTATCGGTGTTGCCGAAACCGCAGGATATGCTCACGGGTGTTGCCGCGATCGTGGGGGACGATTATCGGTGTTGCCGAAACCGCAGGATATGCTCACGGGTATTGCCGCGATCTCGGGAGACGATTATCGGTGTTGCCGAAACCGCAGGATATACTCACGGGTATTGCCGCGATCGCGGGAGACGATTATCGGTGTCGCCGAAACCGCAGGATATGCTCACGAGTATTGCCGCGATCTCGGGAGACGATTATCGGTGTTGCCGAAACCGCAGGATATGCTCACGGGTGTTGCCGCGATCGCGGGAGACGATTATCGGTGTTGCCGAAACCGCAGGATATACTCACGGGTATTGCCGCGATCGCGGGAGAAGATTATCGGTGTTGCCGAAACCGCAGGATATGCTCACGGGTATTGCCGCGATCGCGGGAGACGGTTATCGGTGTTGCCGAAACCGCAGGATATGCTCACGGGTATAACCGCGATCGCGGGAGACGATTATCGGTGTTGCCGAAACCGCAGGATATGCTCACGGGTATTGCCGCGATCGCGGGAGACGATTACCGTTGTCGCCGAAACCGCAGGATATGCTCACGGGTATAACCGCGATCGCGGGAGAAGATTATCGGTGTTGCCGAAACCGCAGGATATGCTCACGGGTATTGCCGCGGTCGCGGGAGACGATTACCGTTGTCGCCGAAACCGCAGGATATGCTCACGGGTATAACCGCGATCGCGGGAGACGATTATCGGTGTTGCCGAAACCGCAGGATATGCTCACGGGTATTGCCGCGATCGCGGGAGACGATTATCGGTGTTGCCGAAACCGCAGGATATGCTCACGGTTATTGCCGCAATCGCGGGAGATGATAGCTGGTGTCGCCTTACCTACTAGTTATACTGTTATATTATGTTGTATAAAATATTTTTCTTTGTAAAAGTTTTGTTTTAAATTAAAATAATCATTAATAGTAATAATAAATTATTATTAGCGGGTTGCGATTAGTTGAACGGGTTCCGATAGTAGCTCTTAAAATTCAGGAATTTGTCTTGAATTCTCCTGGAAAACTCCTTGAATTTTTCAAACCAGGTTTAGTAGACACCATGAATATTCAGGCCTAGTAACAACAGTACCCCTACCACAGCTGCAGACTAAGCAAGTTTCCATTGGCTTGGTTTGATTTTCCTACACGGTTCAACAAGTACTTAGGTTTGCTGCTCCAGGGAGGGTAATAAAGTATTTTTTTGTAAAATGTGCATAGCTAATATTAAATAAATTTGCCAAGTTTTGTCAAAATATATCCATGAACAAGCAAACTACAAGAGTTTACTTATTCTCCATAAACAATTACATTGAAATTCTAAATTTACAATATTTTTGATTCTATCCATAGCCGGACACACACACTTCAAGATACAAGATTATTTTTTAATGATCTTCAAAATAGTTTAGAGAGAAATTGGGAAATTCCATGTTTCCCGCCCATAAAACTTCTAATTTGACTGTACAAATAGGAGTCTTTAAGCTTAAGCTTGTAATGATAAACATATCACTGGTGCAATCCTTGTTGCAGATAACTGGGTGCGTAATGTGTGGCAGTCTCCGCCACCTGTTTTAGCTGGTGGTAGTTCTAAGCCAATCTGGTCTCCTATACCTGCAAATTTGTACAGCAGCACTCCTTTTGAAAACAAAGGCAAGTTTTATCCAACAACTGTTTTACAATTGCATTATCAATTTGGCCACCTCGGAACTGACATGGCTGTCCTAAAAACAAAATTTGCTGGTTTAACTTACAATCTCTTAATAAACTTATTAATTTTAGTTTTTATTGATTGAATGCGTTTTCCGGACAAGTTATAACAGGTCTGTGTGCATACCACACTTAGAGACCGACTAAAAGGAAACCCTTACAACAGAGCTATATTAGTAAAATAAATGCCACTTAACTAATTTATTGAAAAAAGTACCATCATGTTTGAGGCATTTGATAACATCAGCTAGGAATTGGAATCAAAGTCAACTACATGTCGAAACATAGCTGCTGTTTGTCATCGAGCTTTATGCTGCTGTGTCTCACCTATGCTCGGCCTCACCAATATGCAAATATGTCCGTAATAAATAATTAATGGACCCAACAAATTTCAAGTGTTCATACTTCCTATAAATGAAATCACATTTATATTGTTTTAAGACTAATAATGGGGTTATTATAGATGACAAGTACTTTTACTTTTGACTGTGTTGTATTGGTTAAACTTCAGCATGATGTTTTTAATGTTATACATCTTTTTATCCTCAGACATTTAGAAGAATGTTGAGGAGCAAAGAGTATACTTGGTTCTCATAATTCCATAGACAAGTTATTCAAAGGAAAATTTCAATGACTTATTTGTTTAGGGATTCAAGCAAATTCAACATCTTCGCTCTCACCTTGTCCACCAAGCTTTCCCAGCATACCTAAACACGTGGAAAACATTACCAATGATTGGAGCCAGTCGGATTGTAGTAGCATTCCGGATAAAGGTAGGACATACTGGGCTGCATAACAGTAAATCTATATCTATAAAAGAGGAAGTATGTATGTATGTATTAGTGATGGGCTGGTACGACTTTTTCAAAGTTGGTACCGGTTCCTAGCCAAAATCGATTCTCGGTTCGGTTCCGGTACCATCAATACCTAGTTTTAGATTTTTAGGATTTAGGCTACTTATTTTTTATTTTTAAAACAAAATATCCATATTTCAATTTTACAGTATTTTGCATCAGTATAGGTTGGTATAAAACTTAAAGGATTAAGAAAATAAAACTCATTTGTTAAAAAAAAAACCAAAATAACCAAACACATTCTAATCAAAATAATACAGCAGATGTGTTAAAAATATTTGATGAAATTGGTGATGTGTTGATACCAAAATTTATTGATTCTCGATACCGATACCTAAAAAAACAATAATTCTCAATACCAATACAATTTTTTTAAATAGTTTTACCAAGTTTTCTTAATGGATTGGTTATACTAAAACAACCTGTCTTTTTGTATTTCTACTAAGTATTTTTGAGTTAGGCTATTAGTGTGTTTTTACCATTTAAAATAATAGTTGTTAGTGCAGCAACGCTATTGAGAACTATTAAAAGGACTATAGTTGTTAGTCCCGGGTAACTGCTAGTATGTCCTAAATTGACACATTTATTACATAAGAAAACATTATCAGCAATCTGACACATACTTTCTCCTATTAGCTTGTTAACAACTCTTATCATGGTGGGAGTAACTATAATATTTTATGGAAAAAATCACAAAAGCTGCAATGACTTTTAACACATTCACTGCGGTTGTGCGATTGCTGGCTGCTGTCGGGAGCGCGGGCAACTAGTGTGCTGCGTGGACGAGTGTGCAAAAATGTTTGAATTCAGTTTTATCTAATAAAGAGAGGCATATTGCAGAATGTATTGGGTCCCAGTTGTGGACATAGTTTTGTAAGAGCCCAATAGATAGTAGCACTGAACAACATAATAGCTAGGCGGCTCTCAGTATTGCCAAATGGAGGGAAAAGTCAGGGGCAAAGTACCCGGATACACCATATAAAATACCCCAAAAAAGGAACCAAGCACATTAATTTTGAGGTTAGGTTCCTTCCACAATGCCACACTACATTTATTATCGTTATTTTATACCATGTCAATAAATCCAAGTCCCCCCTACTTAAAACAGTAAGTAGGTACAGTATTGGTAACACTATTGGTATTGCCATTACAATAGTGGGGTTTTGTTTTAAACCCACTCTACAATAAATTTGTAACAGTCTCAAGCACCAATAAAATAGTCAAATCTGAAAATGAATTATACCAGATTGAAGTATAAAACTTGTAGAATAAGCCGCAAGCGAAACAAAGTCTCACGGCAGTGGCTAACCTCGTATTGGAACAATAGTTTGTAAACGGTGCTTTAACAAGTATAGGTACTCGTCGTGTGCCACAGGAAAGCGCTAGTGGTGGCAAGACTATTCGTCATGCGCAGTGAAAGTGTTGAACTGGTTTACAGCAATGTAGGCTGTACCATTGTGTGTTGAGTTAAAAGGACTATGACATAATAAGTTTGAATTAAAATCTGTTAAGCCATTTTTTTGGAAATCTAATTTTTCCGTTTTTTTTAGTTTTTGTGGGAAAATAATGTAAGTTACAACAACTTTTGAATTGTTATTTTTCACAGCAATGGGGGTTCTATCTTTTTGTTTTGAACTATGTATAACATACTATTTAACTCAAAATATTTTACAAAAACAATACTTCTCCATATAGGTAGGCCTACTATGAATAGGGGGAGAAAGTAATATATTTAAAATCCAATGTATGTCTGTCGTCTGTTGTATGTATAGATTATAGTATAAAATATTATATATTATATAAATGAAATAAGCTGATACAATTAATAACTCTTGTGTATGGGAAATACTTGACTATTAACCTAAGTGTGATCCCAAGCCTTTCATCACAATAATTTAAGTATTATATACTCAAGATTAAGTATTTGATGTAATTCAAGCCCTATAATCACTATTTTATGAAGCAGCTACAAGTGTCATTCAATCACTAAAATCTTTTTGTATCCTAGCAGTTCTTGCCCGTTTCTTCTATTGTACCTAAATAAATCTACTATCTGATCTTTGTCAGGTATATACTATACACATTCACTTCTGAACTTATCGTCTTTACAGACTAGATGTTGACGGTTTTTGTTTGTGAGGAAAGTAATGTTGATTTATTCTCTTCATTCATAGACTTTTTTACTAGCATACAAGTCGTTAGAAACCAGTAGTACAATATGTATCTTTGTACATTAGTTATGATAGAGGGCACCAACTCCCAAGGTTTTGTGTATTTGTTTCTTTGATGAAAAAAATATATAAACATCATACGTATAGGTCTAAAATGCCTGGTTTTCTGTCTGTATGTGATTTTTATAAACGTATCCATAGCTATTTAAACCTCTCAAGCGATTGACTTAAAATTTAGTACATAAGTGACAAATGAGATCAATCTTGGTAAAATGTATAAAATTTATTCATTGTTCCAATTAAAAATGCTTAATTCAATAATGCTTTAAACGTACATTTACACTTATACTGCAGACTCACAAGAAGACAAGATATTAAATACTTATAAAAGATGGTAAGTGGTGATCAATTTTTATTGAACACTCCAATAATCTGAACCAATAAATGAATGAGTCTTATGGTCGTGTGGTTGTTTGGTCATCATAACCAACTACCACAGACACAAAAACATTATCATCATCATGCGAGATTGCAGTAATATCCTGAATACCTGGTGCGGTCTTGTGATATCATCATCGTCTCTCGCAGTCACAAAAACATCATCGTAAAGTTTGTATTTCAAAGAAACTGAAAACATTTTTAATCGCAAATTATTTTTACAATCTGGATGATTTTTTAACTAATTATTTTATCTAAAAACTGCTGTTGTACGAATTATTTAACTTTAAGTAATATATTTATTTTATTTAAAATTAACATAATGACGCATTCATGTACGATCTATCTGTACGTTCTGAATAAAGATTTTATTGATTGATTGATGTTAATCAAACGTTGTATAAATTGAGAAGATTTAATTATGTTTTCTCAGTACTCAGTAGAGTCTTACCGTTCGATTTATTACAAAGTGTCTACTGTGAATACGTGCAATCCATTCTCCAATTCGGCATTCTCATCTGGGGTGGCGCTTACCGAACGATTATACAACCTGTTAATGTCATTCAGAAATCAATAATAAAAGCAGCTCTTCGGAAACCCCTTACATATCCCTGAAATATTATTTTTGACAAATTTAAAGTTTTTAATATTACACAATTGTTAGAGCCCTCATCCTATACATATTCAAAAATAAAGCTTACATTTTTTTCTAACCAAAAAAAGTAATGGTAACCATTACCATTTCACCCAGTATTGCCGTTTCCAGGATCCAGATTGAATAAAACTATAAACTGTACTCGTGCTTTTTTTATATTGCTAACTACATATTACCAAAATTACCTGATAGGTTAAAATTTTCAACTCACTATAGTATTGGCTCCTAAAAAAAACTGTAAATGGCTGGTTAATTAGTAGGCTATTCATCAGAACGAGATAGAATCTTTAATCGCCTCTAACTACGCCCAATAAAGTAAGCCAGTCAGTCTGAATGAGAAGGAAATATGGAGTGATAAGGTATGAGTACATATGTGTGCGTGCGAGTATTACGGAATGCTTGTGTGTGTCTATGCGCAAGCATTAGTTACCTGTTGCTGATATTTCAATAGCATAAATCTACACACACTTTCCCAAGGCTTGATATTTTTTTTACACGCTGTATTGTCCTTTTGTATAAAGGTTTTAATATATTTTCCTATTATTAGGCCTATTTCGATTAAAAGTTGTCGTTCATCATGATAATTGAATCTCAGATTTACATGTACATATAAATGGAGTGTATATAATGTAAAAAGAAATTCTAAAATCCTCCCTAAAGATGATGATTATCGTAGCAAAATTATTGTAGAAAAGAAAAAACAATTCTGCAAGAACAATGGTTAGAAAACTAGGTAAATAATTAAATTACTGAACATAAAACATGAAAACAAGCAGCAGATTTGGCAATAGGGGGTAGGTCTACCTACAGTGTCACCTAAAGTGGACAGTTCGGGTTATGAGTATCATAATCTTTTTAATTTTAGTCATATGGGGTCATTTACTGTCAGAATTTAAACTATTGCTGAAATACCTAAGAAAATGTTTGTTGTTTTTTTCAGCACCTGAAAAACCACTCTCAAAAAACGCCAACTCCAGTTTCAAAAATCCCCGTCTTATCTCACCAAAAAAACTAGTTTTTAAAGTAAGAGAGAAGAATTTAGATGAGAAAAAAATTGGAATATGTGATTACGATTCAGGTGAGTTGTTGATACTGATAGTTAATAATACATTGGTATACATTTATAAAACTGTTGTAGATTCTTAAAAGTAATTGACAATAAAATGTTAACTATGTTTTTGTAATACAAGGGAACCATTGCGCGAATTGGGCATTAATAGGGTAAAAACTTGTTTTTGAGGCAAAACGAAAGCAATACAACACCCTCTTACCCTTCTTCAAATATTATGTTTGTTTAAGACACACAGTTATTAGATAAATAAAACTCCTTATTTATGATACATAAAATTTGTTTATTTTAGATCCACACCATAAGGAGTAATTTACCTACCACAGTCATGTTACAGTTATGAAAAAGTAGCCTATTTAAAATCCATATGTATAAACTGTTGGTCTGTTGTTTACAATCTGAGTGAGGTTAAACATCAGCAGGATCAGCATGCAAATAATAAACAAGATGAAAGCTAAGTCTAGAAATTAATCAAGCACAAGAGGGGGACGAACCTGTAAAGGGTATCACCTTTTTAGTTACAATTAATCTCTCCAGGTCATTTGCTTTAAAATGACACCGCAATCGTAAAAAAAGGGTTTAGTAGGATGGTTGGAAAAGGGACGTTTCAAAGAAAACCCTTATTGTATTAAGATTAAGAGTATAAATTTTTCTTTATCAGTGTGCTGACATACAAAGAAGTTTTTACTTTTATAGATCTTAGTACCATACTCCACTCACAAAATTTGAGGGAAAGTTCCCCTACCACTTTTGCTGAATGTTTGTTGCAACTGGTTAATGGGTTGAGTGTTTGTTTATATTTTGCTTTTTTTAACCAGAAGTTGTTGATTTAAATAAGTGAATCCTAAATAAAAAATAAAAAAATACAAGCAAGGTTATATAGTGTAAACGGTATAGAAATAAACTAAATTAAAACATACCTTGTCTTGCAGTTCAAATAAATATTGTGTTTTTTAATCCACTACATGTTTTGCCATCATTTTCAAGTGGTACACAAAAACATTTAAACATAAAACTGTATATACATTTGACACATACGAACAAAACATTTTCATGTAGGCCTACAACACTTATTTATTGTAACCCGATCACAGCACTGACAGGGACAGAACTCAGAACTAACAGAGTTCGATACGCTACGATTTTATTACGAAGGTTTAGCTACCATACTAGTAGGGTCCTTTTACGTTTTAGTTTATTTTCATTCAAAACGCTCTTTCTCGTTTGCTTCAAAAATTGGATTAGATACATCTAAATTTAATAACCACTGACTTGAATCAAGTTCCTGCTGGACAGTGACTAGTGGTGGCTATCGTTTGGTTTTATTTTAATTAATTAGGTTCAAAATTGTGATTAATCCTTTCGCTTAACGAATAATTACTACGCACGATTGTTTTATTAATTCAATGTTTTAATACCCCGAGACTTGTATATTGAGTTCTAAGCCCCGTCTGTGGCGGGTGAAAGAATCAAGTCTGGGAGTAGGCTGAGTTGAACGACCAGCTACGAAAATTAGTATTAAATTTATCTTAAATCATCTCACGATCAATTCTCTGTTTAGTTATATTAATTACATTCTGTAGGAATTGCTTTTTACCTTATATTCTATTAGCTACATTATTACCAGCGTGTTTAGTTAATTATTTTAATGTTTAATAAGGGTATTTATATCACATTGGCTTATGATTGAATACTCATCGGCCCTACAGAGTCATTCTAAGGGTTAGGCAAAATTTACCAAAACACTTTAATGAAGGCTGGGATGATATAGCCCCAACTGAGCGTGTTCAGCATTTCCAGAGCTCTGAGCCTTCGATAAACTTTTAATAATAAGATCAGTCAAAGCCGTGACAACTTCCTATCAGACACTTTACCATTGCTTTGTTGTTTTTTATGAATTTATGATGCCCCACAGGGTGTATGATTTGTTGTCACATTTTTACTAACAATTTACAACAAAACAATGGACAATTTACAACAATATTAGTCAAACAATTACCAACCCAAAAAATGCAGATTCCGTTTGATCGTAAAGTGAAGACTACCTCTATTGTTCAAAAAGTACTTATTTTTTTTAGGTATTGTACATAATAAATTTAGATATGGTAATTTTAGGTACGTCAGTTTTTATACAAATGTGCTCTAATAACAAGTCTACCATACACAGACAAAACCATCTTTTGAGGAGTTCATCAGCTCGTCGATAGATGTTCAGAAACTTTGTATATTATTGCCAATCGTCAGCTCTTGAGCTGTTGTTTTATATTTTGGGTTAATAGAAAAAATTAGATTTCTTGCCCTAAAACCGGCTAAATTTTGTGAACAGAGTAACGGTTTTAAGTACGGTTTTAATTGACTCTGATTTGATATTCATATACCTAGAATCATTTTCTAATGGCTATATTAGTTTTTCTCTATGTATGTGACTAAAACCGATAAATAATTATTTCAAACTAATTAATATCACAGTGTTAATCATATTTTAATATTTTTCCAGCCTCTACCACTGGTAGTTACAGCAGCATAAGAAAACGAGTTGGAGACTCTGATTCTGTATATTCAGGTAACATCTAAATATGTGTCTTTATTCATTTATCACATTGTGATCTAAAGTAATTTTGGTAAATTTTTCTTTGTTTTTTTCTCTCTACATTTGCAAAGGTGGTACACATGTTTAACCCTTTGCGGTCTATACTCCACTTATAGTCTCCACTGTCCATTTCAAGCTAGATATGGCATCAAATTTACCCTGTTGTACTGACAGATAGGCCACTTATCGTTCCTACTGTTATTTTGGCGTCAGGTGTGATGTAATGAACAGCTGTCCTCAGTAGGTATAGCTGTTTCTGGAAACTCGTTTGACATAGGGAGGTAAACTTAAAACCTGTAATTTTACAAATTTTACACTAGAGATGGAATAAACATTTCAGTTTATTACGTCTAAAATCAAATGTACGATTCTATAAATATAAAAGTTGAAAACACAAATAACAATAAAGTACTTCATTTGAAATCCCAAAACATCATCCAGTAAGTAAATCCCTTTTATAGTCAGAATTCATAGTTTAATTATTAACCCTTTGTGGTGGAATGGCGAGTATAGGTCACTGCCCGCCATTTTCCCGACTGCTCGAAAATTTTGACCAATACTAAAAACAAAAGATAAATAAATAAAAAAAGTTTATTTTTGCGGTCGATGGTGAGTATGGTGACCTATACTTGCCAAAAAATGTATACAACCTAGCAATATATATATATATATAACATATTCAAAACTAAAAAACCTAAACCAACAACTGACTAACAGCCGACACATCCCTATTTTATTTCCCTTTTAAGTTTACTTAAATTAAAATATAATGATGAAAATCCATTTTACAGGCTCCTCCATCAATGAAAACCTTAGAATGAGGAAGAGAGGGAAAATAAATGGCTCAGTTTATTCAGATTCAGGTAATACTAATGTTTAGTTTTAAATCTACATGTATATTTAATTTATATCAATGTAAAACTGAGATTGTGTCTTTTGGTCCATTTGTACACCTATTTACTATTGGTGTTTTATGTTGAGGAAGAAATAGTGTCACAAGGGAAATTGCTTTTTATTGTTGATTTGTTTTCAATTAAATAAACCTAATAAATATATAAAAATGATAATATGATGATTTTTTTAGGATCCTCGTCTAGCTCTGAAATGAGGAAAAAATTAAATACGAGCAGCTCACTCAATTCAGGTAATAATTATGCTTAAAATCTATATAAGTACAAAGTACATTTAATTTTTTTTTTTATTCTGAATCTGTATTTAATTTATACCATTGTTAAATTATTGATGTGGTCTGTCTACATGAGCACATTTGTTTACCATAATAAACTTCTCAAAAAGGCCTATAAACTTTTGATGTTCAATTTTATATTTTATTACTTAAAGCTATGTTGTCCAAAAAGACGTGTCTGTTTCGTCTGTTGCTGAGAAATAGACTCGGACGATTGGCGCCCAGTGACTGCTATGCATTGATTTCAATGGGCCTGTTGTCCAAGAAGTGCCTGACGTATGAGACGCTGAGCGTTTGACGCGGGGCACTGCTCTGGGATTAGACAGGATTGGTGGTGGCCAGTGTCTGTTGCATATATTGCCGTGTTGATCTGGTGATCCCCCGTCCATTCAAGCTTCTGTGTGATGTCTTGTAAGAATGGTGTCTTGTTATTGGGTATGGAGTCTGATTGCATGAAGTTTTTTTAGATCCTCCTATATCAAGTTGCAAACGAACTTAACTGGTTCTTCGAAAGTCTAAAAAAAAAAACAATAAAAATAGGCTAGGACAACTACCTCTTGCTTATTTCTACACTGTATGAATATTTGTATTACTGTAGAATCTACAGTAGGCTATTACAAATTATAAAGCATTTTATATAAACACAAGTTACGTTAAACAAATATTGATTTTTTACAATTTTAAACCAAACTTGACTCGGAACTGCCAAGTTCAAAGATGAGCTCGAGTTTCAAGGCCGTACTCGACTCGAACTCGAAATCTCGAGTACTCGCACATCTCTAACCGATACCAAAAATTGTCGATACCGATACCACCAAAGTACCCTCGATACCTATCGATACCGATACTTATATCATAATGTAATTCTCAATGTGAAATAACAATAACATAACCTCAACAGTCAACATACGGATGAATCCTTTGACATACACTGTAACTGCAACACACCGCGATCGTGCATATAACAGGACTACTGCATCTCTTAAACACTAACCGTGATTGGTTTATCGTCATCCTTTGATCCAAAACCAGCCAATGAGAAAGATTCTAATAAGTTAGTAAAGACTAAAGACACTAGCACCCGGTGCGGCGTTAAACAACAATCCAAGCATCAATCCAAACCAAGTATCCACATCGCTTTAACACTACTCGTGATTGGCCGAACATCGTCTCTGGATGGAAAACTAGCCAATGAGGTCATGTTTATCAAAGTGACAAGGCCGTTAGCGCTCGCAGTGGTGATCAACCAAAACAAATATCATTCCTGGAGTTGAAAACTAGCCAATAAGGTTGTCTCTACTAAGTAGGCAAAGAGCTAGGATTCGTAACGGCAATTTACCCGCTCTGAACTGACTTAATCCGCACCGATTCGTACGCGTTCAGTGTCAGTATCGGTATCGAACCCAAAACAGGCAAGTATTGACGATACCTCGATACCGCTGGTATCGAGAGTATTTGGTATCAAGTATCGGTATCGGCCCACCTCTAATTAATAGTCAAAGGTTTTCTCTCTTCTTAAATAACAAACCGAAGTAAAAATTTCTTAAATGTGATGAAAAATACGATATGGTAAACTTGCAAATAATACAGAATTGATTATTTACGCTTTGCGGACAGGTGACGGATATATCCGTCTAAGTCTCTGGCAATGACAATCAGGTGGCAGATATATCCATATTTGGGTTGTTATGTTCCGAACAGGAAACTGATATATCTGCCTTATCTTCAGACAGCTCGTGTTTTAGCAGTATCCAGATGTCTCGGGCTACCACAGCGCTACTTCCCCGCGCTCTCTGCAACCTTGAAAGTGACACTCCTCCCTCTCCCCCCCCCCCCACCACCTCGGTGTTGCATACCCAACACCACATTGACTTTGTTGGCGCTAAAAGCTACAGTTTTTGCCTGTCTAGCCGCATAAAATAGTGATATGCACAATCGCTTATATTATATTAAAAATTAAGATAAAGGAAAAAATAAAGTTATAATAAAAAAAGTTTAAGGTTTAATACAATTTTTTTTCCTAATATAGGTTTTGACAAGAAACTAAAAGTGTCCTCAGAATCTGTACAGTCCAAAGATGAAAAACCGATAGCAAGTGTTCCTACACCAACTGCTGTTCCTTCATTAACTGCTGTCCCTTCAATAACTGCTGTTCCTTCATTAACTACTATTTCTTTGTCAGAAAATAAGCGGAAACCTCTACCAGAGAACCCTCTAGGTGAGTTAAAGTTATCTTACTTTTCACTAGTTAACGTGATAATATGATTAGTAGATTAGATATCCTGGAGAATGAAAGAAATGTATTCTTAGAGCTGAAGAATTTTACTCCTCAAAAGTCCAACAATCATGACAGCTCGGTTTAAAAAAAAATTACAAACTATTATATCCAATCACCTTAATCCTTTGGGAACACAAGTTGCGGTGGATGGTTGAAAAGTATTCTAGACCTATTAAACATAACGCTTAAGTTAATATTAAAATTGGCTTTGGAAAGAAGTGCAGGTGTTACCCATCGGCATCCATTATTCTGTTTGAAGTGTAACTAACAAATGTTCTGTTACATTTAAAAAAAAAATCTTTTCTGTGATTTCCCATACACATTATACTGGATATTCTGCTAGAGTAGGAATCACTTCTTTACAATGATTTTGATGAAACTCTGTACAAATGTGTAAAGCTACATTTATTTAAATGAGTTTGCGAACCAGCATGATCGGACTCTAGGAACGGGGGTTTATAGGGTGTTATACTTATTTACTTACTCTTATATTAAAATGGTATAATATTACCGGTTTCCGTCTGTGATCCTACATTTTTTGTATAGAGCAACCGGTTTCAAGGTTATAACCTCATCTTCAGGCTCCTGTTGTCACTCTTGCGAGATCGTCAAGTTTTACAAACGCACAAAAACATTAACATTTAAATAAAAAAACACGAGACACTGACAGACGAAGACGATTAACATAAATTCGGGAACTAGTTCCAGACGCGGCACGGGCAAACGTTTTGTCATGACTGGGGTTGTGGCTGACCTTGCTGCCCCCTCCCGTTATCAGAACAATGCCAATGGTATTTTTGCCTCTCATTATACCTCCACTCATTATACTCATTATACAATACCATCGGCTCCAATACATCTTCGCCAGGTTATCCGGACCTCTGCATCTTCCTCTACTGCTCCAATACTCACCATGTCTGGTTTCACTTGTTTCCACCTTCTTTGTTTTAGTCTTCCTGAATGTTGCCTTCAAACCACATTGCCCTCTAATACTCTTCTCAGTTTGCATTTTCCCCCTCTTCTCAATACGTGTTTTATGATTCATCTGATTACAGGGGGTTTTATGGGGTCAAAATTTGTTTGACCATTTTTAGCCCCTAAACACCAAATTTTACTTCTTTCCAAAGAATCTTGTAAAAATTATGTAGTATATTGAAGTGTTTTTGTACGCCTAACTTAAAATGCCCATGTTATTCTTATGGAGAATAAATAAACTGTTGTAGTTTGCTTGTTTAGGGATATGTTTTGATAAAATTCGTCAAATATGTTTATTTCATACCTAGCTATTAACATATCATAAAAAAAAAAAAAAAAAAAAAAACTCTTAATTAGCCTACCTTACCTGTAGCAGCAAACAGATTCAAGATTCAAGATCTTTATTTGTCATTAAGTAATACAAGTATTACAATAGACATCGTCAAAGTTTTTTTCTTAATACTACATAAAGTTTATTTTCTGTTAGAGTATGCCAATCAGCAAGAATGCACCAAGTGAGTAGTGCTCATTAAAACTAATATTATTTAAATAGAAGATGCTTCTCACAATTTTAAGCGATTATTTAAGTGAAAATCCATCGTAGCAAATGGAAATTGCTTAGTCTGCAGTTATAACTTGTGTTGTATAGACAATTAATTGTGAATTGTATAGATACTTTGTATTGATGTCAGAAGTAAAAATAAATTCTATTTAATTAAGTAATTTAAAGGGAATGCCTAAAAACCAACAACCAAATATTCTTTAAGTTGAACCTATGAAATTAGTCACCAACCCATCTCATTATATTATTCCATAAATGATTTTTTATGTGACACTTTGTAATATGATGTAAATATGTATACAGGGTGTCCCGGAACTCTCTACCAATATTTTAGGTCATTGCTCCTGGGTAAGAAATATAATATTTAAATTGTCCGGAAGTCCTTAGTTACTCACACAGCCGCCATTTTGTTTTTTTCAGTTATTAATTTTTTTTTAAGAATGGTTAAATATAGGAAATGGAAACTTTGCACAAACATTTATGACAACTAGACAAAGCTACCAAAAATTATGAAGATTTTTCAAATTCATAAAACAAAATGGCGGTTATTTAAAATTTTGCTTCTTAAATAACTTGAAAACCGTTGATTTTACAAAATTTTAAATAGCCCCCATTTTGTTTTATGAATTTGAAAAATCTTCATAATTCTTTGGTAGCTTTGTCTTACTTACTTACTTACTTACTGCCGTGGCCCCACAAATCTCAGTTGATTCTTCGCCTCGTGTACCAGCCTCTTCCACCCTTCTCTGTCCTCTGCCAAGTTGACACTTGCACCCATTGTCCTGATGTCGTTCAATACTTGGTCAGTCCATCTCAATTTCGGCCTTCCCAATGGACGTTTACCTCCAGGTGTGGCTCTCCAAACTTCATACAGTCTTGTTCCTTTCTCTCTTCTTAGCACATGCCCTATCCAACTTAACCTTCTTCCTTTAACTATTGCAACAATATCTGGGTCGGTGTATAGTGATCTTAACTCTCTATTTTTCCTTATTCTCCACATTTGTCCCTCCTGTACTGGACCAAATATTCTTCTCAGTACTTTATTTTCAAAAACTATGAGTCGGTTTTCATTTTTCTTGGACAATACCCATGTTTCACTACCATATAACAGAATAGGTTGAATTATTGTTTTATATAACTGTATTTTGGTTCTGTGAGATAATACTTTAGATGAGATCAACTTCTTGCAGGCTCCCCAACACTTATTGGCATTTGATAACTTAGTTAGGTAGCTTTGTCTAGTTGACCTAAATGTTTGTGCAAAGTTTCCATTTCGTATGTTTAACCATTCTTTAGAAAAAAATTAATAACTGATAAAAACAAAATGGTGGCTGTGTGAGTAACTAAGGACTTCCGGAAAATTTAAATATGATATTTAGGTATGTTTCTTAACCAGGTGCAATGCCCTAATATATTGGTAGAGAGTTCTGCGACACCCTGTATAAAATTAAGTCATTCAATAAATTTACTAGCCAAAAGAATTGTATCATGTGAATATTTTACTTTTATTTTTTTAAGATTTTGAGACGAGCACCTGCTTTACCAGCTGTGCTGGGGAAGAAAATGTATTGTGACGAATAAAGAATCTGAATCACTAGTTTTCCTTTTTAATAAAATAAGTCGGGACTCAACAATTTTTTAATGTCATTGTGAACATGTTTATAAGCATGATTTCCATTTTAAGGTGTTCAAGATTTCATTATCATAAGGATTATTTCAAAAGTATTTAAAACATAAACTTGCAAGAGAGATTTGCTATCAGGAACTTGGTTATCGATGGAAATCCAGCATTATGTCCTGTCTAATAAAGAAAACTGTACAGGATTCAAAATAGCTGGGTTTGACTGGGTTTAAGTTTAAATCAAGCAATATAAAGGGTGCGCCAAAAAAACCTGACGGTTTCTGTTTTGTAATAAGTCAGCTGTTATACAATCTAGAGACCTCATTGTTGTAATGAACGATTGCTCATGTTATGCCATTTTTAGGGTATGTTTGTCGAAACATCATTTCTTCGAATCTAGTGTGTCTAGTCTAGTGTGTAGTCTAGTGTGGTGTGGCACGGTTTGGAGTCATCGGACCATATTTTTTTGAAGACGAAAGGGGAAACACCGTCACTGTATACTCGGAACGCTATGTTGAAATATTGAGGGTCTTTTTCGTTCCACAACTAAGAATGTTAGGAGGGATAGACATGACCATGACCAACCATGGTTTCAACAGGACGGTGCAACTTGTCATACAGACAATTATTCAATGACAGTTTGCGTGAACTCTTAACCGGTAAAGTAGTGATGTGGGCCGGGTAAATACCCAGTGGGTAGGTAAATATAAATTGGGTTTTTACCCGGGTATTTACCCCAGGCCCGGGTAAATACCCAAAAACTGGGTATTTATACGTTTTATTAAAGTTAGAGAAGATTTAGATGTTTTTTTGCAATTATTACCTTTTAAAGATAGTAAAATGATGATAAAATGTGTTAAACAAAATTTCATATGGTCACTACTGGCATTTTACTTCTGGGTATAATCGCCATAAATATCCAGGTCTGAGCATAAAGCATAATCGGCATAAATACCTTGGTCGCATGGTTGCACTGGTCCTGACTACTTATGATTTATTTAATTTCTATGATAGATAGGACTAGATGAATTTATTTGATTCAAAGTGAAAAAAAATAATTTGCAAAATAATAATTATTATTTAGAAAGAACGGAAAATTTAACCTAGTAGTGGCCTTTGTGTAAACAACTTAAGAAAATAATTTTAAAATTCAATCTGTAGGATGGCAGGGTTTAATAATATTTTTGTTCTAGATCTTTTGTTGGTATCAATGGCAGGCCTATAAAAAAAACTAATTTCATAACTTAACATGTGATACAAAACATTTGAATCTATAGCACAATAAATCTTTCAAAATTATATTAAGTTAGACCAAAAAAACAGAAGATAAACTTTTTTAGTAGGTTTATCCAAATATATTATTGTTTCCAACTAAGCGGTAACACAGAAAAGTTGAATTACTTTTAGTATTCTGTCATTCTGCCTATGTCAATCAGGACTTAGGTCTGTCTAGCCTTCCAAACCATTTATACAATAAAAATTTTGCATCATAAATAGCCTACCCAACAATTCCTGTATATTTATTTAACTTATAGATTAAAATAATTTTTTTTATGTTATTTAATTGGTTATAAATTTATAAAATGATAAATATTGAAATAGCCACAGCCTTTTTTAATATACTACTTTTTAATAAGTTAAATTTAACTGATGTTACTCAATTTAAGACACGAAACCCCATGCTTATTTAGAAACTTATTACTTTATTAGTATTAAATGTATTATTGATTTTATACCATTAAACGAGCAAAGCTTCAAGTTACTGTAAAGGTGTTACAGACTATCCTAATTTATCATGTAATGATAACAATAACATATTTAGGGGTAAATATAAATGAATTTCAATTGATTTCATAAATACCCAAAATACCCGGGTATTTATGGATTTTGGGTATTTACCCCGAGTTTTAAATACCTGGGTATTTTACATCACTACGGTAAAGTGATCTTTTGGTTTGGTGATGTGCCGTGGTCAGCTCGTTCCCCAGACTAATTTTGTGTGACTTTTGGCTGTGCGGATACTTAAAAAGCAAAGTGTTTGTTTCAAAATTTCGAACCATCCCTGAACTCAAGCAGTGGGTCCGGGAAGAGATTGCTTCTATTCCTCAGGCGAAGGTGACCGCGAATATGCAAAAAATAAATGGGAAGCCTGCGTTTAGGAGAATGTCATCACCTAAGAGGTATAATTTTTCATAAATGAAAATGGCATAGTAGTGTGTACAATATAACATTATTTAATACATACAATTTTATTTTGTTCTTGAGTTATTTAGTATTAAAAACCGTCAGGTTATTTTGGCGCACCCTTTTATGGTGAATCATTTAAAATAGCTGGACACAACTTTCAAATTTGTTTGGAAGAGTGAAACCTTCATTTCCTTAAGTGGTGATTTAGGTAAGCACATTACCCTTTTCCACCAAATCAGTCACTGACTCACTGATACATTTATTTGAAATTAGAAAATCTTTTAATAATTTATACAGCATATAACATCTAAAAATAAAACAATTCATCATGAATTATGTTGTTTTAGATGCAAGACATAAATTGGAACGAAGGCGAAGCATACAGTGTGAAACAGAGAAGCCTTCAAACTTGAATCAAGATGAAATGGAGTGGCAAGAAACCTGTCCTTCAGAGGTGAGTTTTGGCTATCCTAAACTTTTTTCTGTCCCACCTTCATATCCTAGGACGCTAGTTCTAGCCTGGAACTATTTTGCAAATTAATTATTTCAAGCTGTAGTATTGTAGCTGTATTAGTGATTGGCGAAATTTGAACCCAAGATCTCGGGCACCGAAGCCCTGTGCTGTACCATTAGACAGCATGCTCCCCTGCAACTTTTAGAGATATTAGCTTTGCAAGTAGTAACTAAATATAACAAACTAGCAGTTACCCGGCGCTCTTTGCTGCGCTAACAACTATTATTTTAAATGGTAATTTGTTCTTATAAAAATAGTAAAAGTTTAAATACCAAAAACAATAATGGAATATTTATTTTACTTAATTGCCAGTGGGTAAACAATGTTTTTTTTTATTAGGTGGATAAGTATACAAGTTTTTACGCGTACATACCACTACGTGAGCACCCGACATAGAAGTGTGAGCTGTCCGTGTGAAAAGCATGTATTTTCTAAATTTAAACCGGCGATAGTCAGGGATTGTATTATTGTTGTGTATCATGTATATATCAACCAGTATATCATGTATATATTGTCGTTGTTTATTTAGATTGCCGTTTGGTTATGTTGTTCGTCAAAGTCTTTTGTATGCTTTGTGGTTAATAGTGTTTGGGTTTTTTCTAACGACAGTACGCTTAGACCTACCCGTTTAGTGTATTTATACATCAGTTTACCCTTTATTGTTTTACCTGTCTCATATTCTTATAGTTTATAAAATGTGTTTTCAATATGTGTAATAAACGGCCACATTCACCTGTAAGTGAAGGAACACTTATTGACAACTTTTGTCAGTCTGATGTAAACTATATACATACGGACAGAGCTAGAATTCACTTGATGAAATTCAATCTTCTGAATCCAGCGAAGAAGTTGTCGACGATATGGATGAAGATCCAGATTACGACCCGAGCCCAATTCCACGGCCTACGCTTTCTTTTCTAATACCTTGTCGAAGTGTAGGTCTCTCCACGAATGGTCCTGGGACTCCTGGGAGTTCCAGTTGTGGACCTTTTCCCAGTGACATTGTCATAGACAGGCCTTCAGACCTACTACACGCACGACTGGTCAAGAGACAAATCAACGGGAAGCTAGCCCCGAAAGTAGTGAGTGGGAGGAAATTCTTGAACAGGACAGAGCATATGAACATTCTTTCACTTTTGATGAACTGTTGGGGCCAAAACATTACCCACCAGGAAACTCCCCACCAATAGCTTATTTTTATTTGTTTTTCATTTCCACTTTACTCAATACCTTCATCACCGAAACAAATAAGAATGCTTAGAGTTTTACCCAATCTAGAAGAGGGCAATTGTCACCCAACAGTCGTGTACGAAAATGGCTGAATATATCTTTAGCCAAAATGAAGGGGTTTGATTTCAGTCATTATGAACATGGGAGTCATTCAGAAACCGTCTTATCGAAAGCTAATCGTACTCATCATCTTCCCAAGCCAACCAGTGGTTCTCAAATATGTTTACACGGAATAGGTTTCAACTTATCCTGATGTTTTTTCGTATTGTCGTTGCCAATACCCTAGCACCTCATAGGTCCCCAAACTACGATCCTTGTGGAAGATTCAAGCCTCTCATCGACCACTGCAACCGTATATTTAGATTGTTTTACCACGGCCGCCTTTAACTAAGGCCGTGGCGTGCGAAGTGGTGATACCGCATGGGATGGCTGAATGGCTACAACTACGCTACACTAGTACTGACCGCTCGCACCAGTCGCACCACGGAGGATTAGAGCAAGCAAGCAAATTATCTATTAATTTAGATGTTTTATATCTGACATCACTGATGTGTATGAAAAGAAGGAAATAATCATACAAGGCTTTTGTGTCAATATAAGAAAATATTTAAACCTTTTATGGTACATGGAACATTTTAGTATTATTAACTAAGAATTGTAGTTTTCTTCCGTCTATTCTTCATATTTACTCTAGTATTTATTATTTGTTAAAACCATTTAATATATATTTGTATTTCTTATTCAGCTTTGTGGCTACCGAGCTGGTTGATGTTGATAATCATACGTCTGTTACAGTTGGAGAATGACTCTGTGTGTAATGGACCTCAGCAATCACAACAAAGTACCACCTTGATTGAGAAAACACTGATAAAACCATTGGTGCTTGTGTGCGACACAAATATTTGGATTAATGAAAAGTCCCTTCCACTATTAACGGAGATTCTAGAAGACAATTCTCTGTTAGGTATGTTTATTTTTTGTATTTTTTATTAGTTGTAACATAAATAGTAGTTGTAACAAGTATAGACAATTGCTAAACTTTCAGACCGCATATTAATTTTAACCGTATATCAATTTCATCCGCAATATTACTCAGCCACAGATTAGAAGAGTACCAGGATAACAACATGTATATTATAGTATAGTAATACATAAAATCATAAAAATGTATATTTGAATGATATAACAGATGATTAAAAGCCTATTGAAATGGACAAAACAAATATAAATTAGGATACTAAATATAAATGTGCTTTTGGCCAATTTCCCATATATAGGGAATAAGCTATTACCGTAGGTCTTATAGTAAGATATAGACCCGGGACCGATTTACTTTTTTGTTTTGAGGTCCCCAGAGGCCAAAAACACCCTCCGTTCAAATTCATATGGATATATTTTTTTCTCCTATGGGGCTGGAGTATCAGGACCCCTAGCTACATCAACCTAAAAGATCTTTGGTAGCACCCTTTTACCTTAGTCACCCAATCAAAGTCTTCTATATATATATGTGTGTGTGTGTGTGTGTGTGTGTGTGTGTGTCCGTTAGTGCGATAACTCGAGCAAAAATGATCCGATTTTGATGAAATTCGGTACAAACGTGCAAAGCTACCAGCATGATTGGACTATGGGAATGGGGGTTTATGGGGTAAAAATTAGTTTTTCCCATTTTTGACTAAAAACATAAAACTTCAAAAATTCTTTCCAGACCATATTATAGAGCTAAAAAAAGAAATAATTTTGTACGTTGAAGCGTTGTTGTATGCCTAACGATTACGGAGATAATTAAATAAACTTTTGTAGTTTGCTTGTTTATGGATATGTTTTGATCAAATTTGGCAATTTTGTTTATTGTGTACTAAGCTATTAACATTTCAATAAAAAACACCCTTCAATACCTTTCCTGTAGCAGCAAAACTAGGTACTCATTAAAATTAATGTTATTTAAATAGGAAATAAATCTGACAATTTTCAGGGAATATTTTAGTAGAAATCCAGCCAGGTAAATGGAAATTCACCTAGTCTGCAGGTTTGCTGCTGCGAGGGTATCTTTGAGTTAAACAGATGTATTTTATATTTTTATTAGTAAATAATAGAAAAGATATAATCAAATTTCATAATATATTAATAAAATACAAATAATGTATTGGTTAAAAGTCTGTGTGTAATAGTAATAACTGAAATATATAGCTAAAATTAAATGGGCGCGTCAGAGGGATATAAAAATAGCCAATCACAGGCCAAGAAAAATAGTCTTCCTCGCCAGTTAGAAGGGAAGTTGGAGACACACTTCCTACACATCGTTCATTCTCTGCTCTCTGTCCGCTATTGTAAATTCTCTGTTCGATATTCTCTCTCCGTATGTCTACCGTTAAACATTTTCTATCAATCATTTTAATGTGACTAAAATGGTTAAGCCTACAACATCTGTTCAACACTTCACAGGACAAGCATAAGATAAGTCATTCTAGCCTAGATATTGGTCTGATTTTGTAGTATGATTTTATTATATAAATTCTGATTTGTATCAATATTTGATGTGTAATTCTTCTATAGTAGCTTATTAAACGAGTAAAAATGTTATTGTCATATTTATTTCCATTTGAATTCTATTGGCCTAGTATTAGCCCCACACAAACTTGTGTAATGAGTTAAGTCTAACTTCAAAATAAGACTCTACAACCCCTGTGTAAAAATCTCATTCTCATTCCAATAAATATTTAACTAAACTGACATTTAATAGACAAAAAACCGTATCAATTGCCATAACAACTTGGAACTAGGGTTTTAGAGTTCAAGTGAAGATAGATGGACTTGATAAATACAGTACACTCCCTCTTATCCGGTCTCCTCGGGACCGAGGCCAGTCCGGATAACGGGTTTTCCGGTTAAACCAACGTCCCCAAAAACTCGTTAAAATGGACCGTTTACTGTAATATTCTACTAGAATTTAGGAGAGCATTGTATTTAGACACGTGATCACTGGTCTCAAATCTTTCCCACGAGAACAGTACTTTCAGTGCCGTGCCCACTTCCTGCCGATCTAGTCCCGTTAAACCAATGTGCTGATATAAATTGTCCGGTTAATGAGATGTCATTTCTGCCGAGTGTAGTCCGGTTAAACCGATGTCCAGTTAAAAGGTAACCGGATAAGTGGGAGTCTACTGTAGGTTAAAGATTATGGGGGGGGGGGGTGCAAACAGGGGAAAAATGCCTCAGGTAATATTTTAATTTGTACGGACCCTTACTACAAAAGTACCCTTAGCAATAATTTATCCCTGTATTAACTTTTAACTTTTGACACTATTCATGTATGTAAAATGTATAAAGTGAATAAAGATAATTTTATTTAACAAAAAACAATCACGGGTTTTACAACAGTTTGGCTGATGGTAACAGCTAAAACTAAGACAAAGCTTAAGAATAGAAAATCTTCAATGTTTTACTGAGGTTACAGATTTTATTCAGTATATCTTGAAAGTAATAGCATGAGCAATAATTTTTAAAAATTAATAAAATGCGTAGGTTAAGCATTTGTACATGTTTTTAACTGCTTTTTATCAATAGTCTATATGTATTTTTATCATGTTGAATATACTGCTTTTTAATTAAATAGAAGGTTTGGTAATCATGGTTAAATGGGAGCTGCGTTGTTTTGAGGCTAGCCTATAGTCAAAAACTTATATTGCTAAAAAATCATTTGAGATCAATAAGAAATTTGTGTACAAAATTTGTTAATAATTTAACTCCGCACTAATGATTTTCAGCAGATTTAGGTGCAAGCATTGGTTTAACCGACAAAGACCAAAATATAAAGGCTTAAATAGTCAACTATCATTAGAAAAAGAACCACCCCCCTTAACCCTCCTTAAATTTGAAATTTTTTTAAACCCTGTCTTATTGCTTATCTACATTGTACAGGGAGGCAGCCGAATTAACACAAAATATTTGTGATATATAACTGTGAACGGTCATTTGGAGTCCAGATATAAATGGGAGCGCCACATGAAATGTAAACTGAGGGCAGTTAATTAACAAACTTTTTGATATGTCCATTATTTACACTCAATGATATGTAATATTGATTAACAACCATGCTAGTTATGTCATGTAGAGTAAACATTCACTATGAAATTAATACTAGGGTTGCTTTCAGAGAGGTGAAAGCCAGTTGAGCGGAACAAACGTGATTTGATATTTGTATAAGTAACTAAATGCAAAAAAGTCAATAGATATACTAATGCATGTTTTATTGATAAAAATTATAATAATTCAAATTTGTTTTAACTACATCTTGTTATTCAGATACGTACCTCTTCCAGAAGTGCATCATGGTAGTTTTGACCAGAAGAATATTACAGTAGTTGGAATCTTTAACATCCAAAAAGGGCATTCAAGTATAAAAAAGAGAAAGGAAATTTAACATTCAAATTCAACTGTAGCCTACAACAAAAACATAATAAGCTACAAGTTACAAGTTACAACTTGTAACTTGTAATTTCCATTAGATTTACATTGGGCGATCAGCTGATTTACTAATAATATTAGTTTGTACTTTATTATGAAATGGGCCCCAGGAGGGGAAATTTGACATTTAAATTCAACTGTGCAACATAAACATTGGTCTTCATTTCAACCATAGCAATCGGTTAAACTCAGCTTTCTTTGCTGGAAATAGTTTATGATTGTTAATACCAAGTATATTCTTGATGGAGGATATGATTGTAATGTAACTGGAATGTAGGTCTTCTACCATTATTGGGACGATTTAGAGACGGCATTTTAATACTGGCCTTAATAAAACCATTAGAGAGCCCTAGACAATTATCCATACCGTGCGGTTAAAACTGTACTTCTATAAGCCCAGGTAATTAATTATTTACTTATTATTACGGCTGTAACTGGACGTATGTATAGTCCGTGGCCTGGCAATGAAATAACAGTATTTATATAGGATAGGCCATGGTAGAAGTAAATAAAGTGGAACTAAATAAAATTTACTTCCACCATGGGATATGCTACTGTTATCAACATTTGAAATTACTGAATTGTTACCAAATTACTGTTTCACAAAATGCAGATTCCATTTTTAGCCGAGCCATTAAAATGAGGATTTGCCAAACAATTATTAATTGGCTATTACAGAATAGTAATTAATGATATAGGCCTACAACTTTTCACATTTCATCAATTATATGTTTGTTTTGCTATGTTCAAAGGTCCAAATCCAAATGTTATTTTCTTTTGGTCTGTATGTAGTAATTTGCTAGTATCATTGACTTTATATTAAGTCAATGCTAGAATACTGTAGATGGTTTGTTAAGACCATAATATGCAAGCATTTTTGAAATCGTTTCCCCGTTTAACCAACTATTCCAACAAAAAAAAATAATAATAATATGGTGCAACACAAATAAATAAACCGATCACCTACCTATAACCTACACTTTACATTCCTAATCTAACCTTACTTCAAAACACTTACAGTAATGTAGTCACGAATACTCATAAACCCCGACCTACCTTCCCCACATGCCTAAATTAGATCAGTGTTCAATCTGCATTTTATTAATAAGTGTAATAACTTAATGCACCGTCGATGTAATTCAACATAATATAATCTGTGAGGTATTATCGGATTAAATATCGTTTTCGATGCGGTTCGATATATCGCTTATTGAATCCTTTTTTCTAACATTGACTGTTTCTAATCAGCTGGCAACACAAATAGGTGAACAAGAGTAAGTAGTCACTGCGATATGCTCCGCGCATTGTTAAAGTAGTTCCGTCCATTTTCGCAATTTGTAGTGAATTCCGCGCCTTAAAAAATATTTTAACGGTATTTTCTTGTTTATTAAGATCATAGAAATGATTTAAAAATGTTTAAAAGAAAAGTCTAGAAAGTTAAGAAATACCTTAGGATTCTCTTGTTTACATCTTTCTTGTAAACAAAAAACTGTCATATGGCTACTTTAGTCCCATAAGCCTAATGTTAAAAATTGGAAATTTTATGTTCGTTTTAAATTGCATTAGCATTATCTAATTGAAATTTGTTTGTTTAAAAACCATCTCACTATTAGTCTAAGTAATTTTGTTAAGTTTGGCTGTAATGCGTTCAGCCGTTATTGAGTGATGTTTCTCTATTTGTTGCATTAAAGTTGATCCCAAAGAGCTTCGCTCGCTTCGCTCGCTCCGCTCAATTAACCCTTTTTTATTCTTGCAGCAGCTACATAACCTAAATTCTGATGACAGCCATTTAGATAGTGAGATAAATGTATATGAATATATATATATTATATAGATTTTAACGAATGGAGTTTTTTGCCTCTGGGGACCTCAAAAACAAAAAAAGTAAATCAGTCCTGGGTCCAGATCTTACCATGAGACCGACGGTAATAGCTTATTCTCTTTATGGGAAATATAAAAAAAAAAATGTTTAATAGTAATATTTTATTTCAGTTTTCATTTAGATTACTGGTTATAAAATGTTTAAATCCATTGAACAATGTAAAACCTAAGGCGGGTTACACACACGGTATCTCTGACATGTCGATATTTATCGTGCTGGTGACATGACCCTCGAAAACCAATGTCACCAATGAAAACCAGTGTCGCAGGTGCAAGTCTCGAGCAAACCAACCGGTCGGTGTTTGGACAGACATGTCTCTTGTCTCTTGGGCCCGCGCATACGCAGAAATGCGCTCTTTCGCCGCTGCGGTACTTCTGTTTTGTTTTGTTCGAGCTGAGTGGTGACTCGTGTCTCAAGCCATAGAACACGAGTGTTTTCATCATAGAAAAATGCCGCTTCCCAACGATGAACAGACCAATAAAGAGTTTGAACATATAAAGAGTTCCAGAGTTCTCTTCGAACATGTATTCTTCGTCGTCGTCTTCTCCTTAACAACAACAGCAACAACACATCATCTTCTTCTGACGATGACATTATTGAAACTGATAAAAAGTGGATTGCTTCTAATGTCGCCAGCACGTTCCTGTTCCCATGGTTGTATACTATATGTCGCAAACATCATGCCCGCGACATTAGAAATAGAAATATTGTCTACACTATGTCTGTGATACCGGTGTGTAACCCGCATAAACACTTAGCTACTAAATTTAGGAGTGAACCTTTTTAATCCTAATCCTTTCCGATGGTAAATACTGTATTTTGAAAACAAATAACTTTAAGAGGCTATACCAAAATTGGGTTGGCAATTTGTTTCAGGGATTCCAGCAACGATATTCATACCTTGTCAAGTGACGAAAGAATTAGATAGCATCAAATCCAGGGAGAGCACCGCAACTGAGTCAACCAGAAAATTGGCTAGAGATGCGCAGAGGCTGATCCATGATAGACAATGCACTATACAATTTCAACACCGGAGCAAGCACAGAGAAAAAGCAGATCCGAGCGCAGAGTTTGAAAAGAATGACGACTTTGTGCTCAACTGTGCTCTTCAGGAGAGAATCTCTGCCGGAGATGATAAGATAGTTGTGAGTATGAAATTCAATTGTCAGGAAAATATGTTTTAAACTTTTAGAAGATAGATTGCTCACGTTAACCTAATAGGCCATTAAATATTTATTCTGAATTAAACAATTTGTTTGTTTCAGATTTTGGTAACAGATGATTTAAATCTGTGTATAGGAGCTCGTCATGTAAACCTCAATGTTGAAACAAGTAAATCATTGAAATCGTTTGTCAGGAAATACAAAGAGAGTAAGTTTTAACATTATATTATTGTTTTTAACACATAAAACTTAAATACGTACTATATAAAATGAAAGTAGTACATCAATATATATGGTTTGGTTATAAAGGCAAACATGAATGAATATTTTATAGTGCTTTTTATAAAATTCTGCTGCGCCTTTTTCATGTGGCGATCAAATCGTTTGTTTACTAGGACTAAATTTGTTCAAAAACGGGTTAAATGTAAGTCCCAAACCTTAAATTTAGTAAGTCTAGAAACAAGAAACAGTTTATCTACAAATATTACTAGCCTAAATATGAAAACAATGAAATACTACAATGTAAATAATTTCATGGACTTTTGAATGGGATACTTTTAATTATATGGATTATGAAAACGTAACAATGTATTTATTTGTGTTTGTTGTTGTGAGATCATATGTAATTATATCAAAACGATTTTTGCACCATAGGCTAATATTGGAATTTTTTTCCTTATTGCAGTAGTACCTCCCATTTCTTGAAGTAAAAATATATCCCTTATTATAGTTTTTTAACAATATCTTGTTTGACAGTTTTGTGACGCGTATATGGTACAATTGACTTTGCTAGAAATTTTTGTACACTTTAGTGCTCAATTACAGTGACATCTTTGTGAGATAAAGTTCATCTATGTAACAAAATGCAAGTTTAGAATATTATCTTTCAAACAGTATAAATTTATTCTATTTTACAATTGTTTTGAACCATTTTCTTTGGAATTAACCAAAACCTTGCAAAATGTGACTAAATTATAGTCGTGCTGTCAGTTGGAGGGTTAAATACTAATACAAACATGATTATGATTGTGGATTATGTTTGAATGCCACAGTAATTGAAATTACGAGGCAATATTGTAAAGTAAGTACTAATTGCCTTGTCTAAAACATGGCAAATCTATTACCATATACCAACTGTATTGGTGTATTTACTTTATTCTGCTTCTCATATATTTTTTTGACCTTATTAAGGTCTACGTTCAAATTCAAGCGGACTTATATGGACACAACCATCTACATCCAAGGCTAGTCTAATCGAAGTACCCATGGAGATTGATGATGAATCAGTGTTTAGTACAAACAGTACTTCCAGTAAGTAAAACCATAATCATGGTCAAATATCTTGTTCAATTGATTCAATACAATGAATATATACTTTATTTACAACTATATGTAAGAGTCATATCATTGATTTACTTTTACGTGTTTAAAAGCAAATGAAAATAAGACGACCTTCAGTTATGACAATACATTGTTGTTTGACAATCCTTTGTGTAACATCTCCAGTAAAGAGTTGCTATGTATGCAAGATATATGTTAACAATTTATAAAGGGAGTATTGTTGTTTTTACTACAAATGATTTGAATGGCACAGTCTTGTTTGTTATTCTGTAAGACAACATGGGAAATATTTTAATTTGCATGTATAGATATGTATGTAAAATTGGATATACTTTTGTAAAACATAAATCTTTGGATCAATTCCAAATTAATTGCTTTTTAAGAAAATACTTTATTTCGTGTTTGTTTCGTATTTACATTATCATAACATTGATGCAAATAAAATAAAATCAATCTTTATTCCAGAGATACCAATGTGTATCAATCATACAATGCTGTGTAGGTTTTGTCAATATAGCTCGCTTATGAAAAGTTTCGCTTATGAAAAGTTACAAAAAACAAAGTGTAAAAATAGAAACTTAATTAAATTGTTTTGTGTAATATTTAACTTTGTTATATTGAGGCCAAGTACCACTTAAGGTACCAGTGGCCACAGCAGTTAGTAAGTATATTGCACCTTACAAACATATAGGAACAAAACAAACAAGGACAAACATTCCAACAACTAATTTCAGCTGAATTCATTGCAATTTTTGGAAAATATGTCTGTTGCATATGTTTATTTACCGCCCTTTTTCTTTATTTTCTTGGAAATTATCTTCCTTTTACCAATTGCTTGACTATGTTTGTTAAAAACCAAAATATACAGGGTGTTTGGTACTCAGTGTGAAAAAAATTTTTTGGTGTAAGTACAAAGTAAATGCAGTATGATGATGCATATAAAATGTCCCAAGTCTAAAAATTAGCTTCCCAAAGAATTATTTTATGTTTTTCAAAAATAACTATGTTTTTAAACTTAATACAGCTATTTCTCAATTACCTGTAAATGGATTTGAGTAGACAATGTCATTTTCGTGTTCTACATTAAATTTTGAATAAGAATAATACAAAATGACAGAGGATCAGTTGTAAAAACTCCATCGTAAATAGATTCAAAGATAAAAATTAAGATGTCTGATAAAAATGCAAAAAAAATTGGTCAATTGCATTTGTTCACACCCTGTATACAGGAAAGTGTCGGAATATGTTAAAAACTGCGCCATTTTATAAGCTTTCCAACCATATGCTACACTATTGAGGTTTAGATATTTTTTTGTTTATTTTAGTGGTTTGAATGCCAGAAAACAGGGAACTTTTTTACTGTTTTTACTGAAACAAAAATACAACTTTTGCTTAATACATGCTGACTTTCTATGTTTTAAATGATAAAGACGCCATGCTTTGTAGTCTTCAAACCACGAAAGCGTACATAAGCAGACAGAAAGCTCAATGTAGAACACGAAAATGACATTGTCTACTCAAATCCATTTACAGGTAATTGAGAAATAGCTGTATTAAGTTTAAAAACATAGTCATTTTTTTAAAACATAAAATAATTCTTTGGGAAGCTAATTTTTAGACTTGGGACATTTTATATGCATCATCATACTGCATTTACTTTGTACTTACACCAAAAATTTTTTTTCACACTGAGTACCAAACACCCTGTATATGAAAAGGCTTGAGATGAGACCTGCCAAAACTGCTGTAGATGCCAAAAAAGTGCTATTCCCTGTTGTGTCAAGTGACAAAATTTGTCTTATTTTTTATAATATTCTATTCTCTTTTAAATGTTAATTGTAAGAAATGCACCAATGTTTTAGATCCTGGTTTGACAAACAATGCATTACCAACATCCACAACAGCATTTCATGCCGAGCAACTGAATTATGATCTCAAGCAGTTTCTGAATAGTGTAAGTATTTAAGTAGTGTATTAGTTTGTGGTTTATTAGTTTGTAGTAAGTGTAAACCCCCTTCACTATGACCAATTATCTTAAGGACGAGCTAGTGGCTCAGTTAGTAGGTGAAGTGATTTGCATCAATGCAACAATTTTACAAATTTGTGGCTAGTGCTACCTTTTGCAATTTATCAGCACAGGTTATTCTTGAGCAGTACCGCCACACCCCTCGTTGTTCTTGATAGAAAAGCCTTACTCTTAACTAATGCTGTATGTGTAATACACATGTATGACTATTAAAGACTCTCTTAAGTTTTTAGGGCTGGGGCTTGGACATCTCTTGCTATTTGAACCGTTGGGCCTATTGTAAAGCTGGTGACATGTAAGCTGGCTGATCACTATTAGCCTAGTACAAAAACATGTGGCTTCATGTGGGTTGCATCAACTGTCCTCATGACTCACATGAAGTGCTCAAGTACATGAAACACGGGGAGACAACCCTGTGAGTTAACGGAAATTTTTGCAGTCGGGGTCTTTTCCTTACCTCCTTCCACCCACACTGCCTGTGCTAGGCCCAAGTGCAGGTTTACGTGTCATCAGATATAACACCCCTCGTTTCAAAAGCATTAACATCTCAATATTGAAATTCTGTTTTTAATTTAAACTAACTATTCTTCTTTAGAGTTTTGATTATAATTGTTATGTTTCATTTTAAAATTGTTTTTGTCAACAGGTGATTGAAGCAGCCAATGATCGAGTTTATGGAGAACTTAAAAAACATGCAGGAAATCCCAATAAAAATTGGAAATTGGTTGACTACATAATTAACATAAACAAGCGATGGTCCTTTATTACAGAAAAGAACCTGTCAGGATCTGTTCAACAAAAATTGAAAAAAATATTAGAACTGGTCAAAAAGTACAACAGGGGTGAGTAGTATAAAGCATTTATTTGTTGTGCTCAGTTAATTGGATGTGTGTGTGTGTGACATTTTCTCAAACTTACATATGATAGGTTTATTTTGTGCAAGTCCAAATAATTAATATTTATGTTTTTAACATAATCTCTCTTAAGTTCTCTAAAAGTATGTTCCTAGAGCACTAGCTAGAATGCATCATAAAAACTGAGTTTTGTTAAAGTTATATTTTTTTTAATAATTTTTAAAGCTATGGTTCCACAGACTGCGGAATCTCCAACGTGCGGTGCGATTTTTTCCGCATACGATCAAAAAGAACATATGTTTGATAAATGTTTGTGGTATGTTTAGATAATGGTGATATTATCACCATTATCTTTAAGAATCTGTTTTTGGAAGTATTTTCAAGTGACACAGCACTAACTCTCTGAATAAGTTTAAGTCATACTCGTCGCTAGTTTGGACAGAACTGAATTTCTGCAACGTTATTTTCGCAGTCAGTGGAACCACCCCTCCAGATTTACGCTGCGTGATTGCCAGTCTGTGGAACCATAAGGTTTGACTGTCACTATGGATGGAGGTCAACACACAGTTCTTCTTGCCAGGACTGTGAATAAAATAACAATAATGAAGATAACGTACACTGACTGTTGTAGATTTCTTTGAGCCTAAATAGCCTTCAAACTCGAAATATTGATTACAGTAGAATCCCTAATATCCGAGGAATAGGGTAAGACTTTTCCCCTGGCTAAAAGGGATGGTTTTGTATTTTTATAGCATTAAATACAAGCAAAACCAATAAACCAGTAATGGGTACATAGGAAACAAATACCCCCGCCGCAGCAAACCTGCAGACTAAGCGAATTTCAACTTGTCTGATTACATTTTTACTAAAATATTTCCATAAATAAGACATATTTATTCCCAATTTAAATAATATTAGATTTAACCAGTGCTTAGGTTTGCTGCTACGGGGAAGGTAAAAGGTGTTTTTTGACCATATGTCAATAGTATAGGATGAAATAAATAAATTTGCCAAATTTTATCAACATATATCCATTAACAAGTAAACTACAACATTTTTTATTTTCTCCATAAGAATAACATGGGAATTTTAAATTACACTTTTTTGAATTTTCTCTGTGACCGTTAGGCATAAAACAGCGCTTCAATATACTAAATTATTTCTTTTTTTAAGCTCTACAAAATGGTTGAGAAAGAAATTGCAAAAATTTTTATTTTTAGGGTTAAAAATGGGAAAAACCTATTTTTACCCCATAAAACCCCCCATAAACCCCTGTTCCCATGGTCCGATTATGCTGGTTCGCGAACTCGTTCGAATAAATGTAGGTTTACACGTTTGTACCAAATTTCATCAAAATCGGGCCATTTTTGCTCGAGTTATCGCGCTAACGGACACATATATAAATATATATATATATATGAATTTGAACGGATGGTGTTTTTGGCCTCTGGGGACCTCAAAACGAAAAAGTAAATCGGTCCCGGGTCTAGGTCTTACCAAATAAAAACAACGATTCTAAAAAAATAACCAATTACCGTCCTCTTTCGCTATTACCTACCATTTCAAAAATATATGAGAAAGCAGTTTACATACAACTGACGAACTATCTGGAAACGTATTCTTTACATGACAATAATCAGCATGGCTTCAGATCAGGAAGATCAGTTACAACTGCAGCAATAGATTTTATAGAATCAGTAATAAACTCTCTTGACAAAGGTGAAACAACAGTTGGCATATTTTTAGACTTAAGTAAGGCTTTTGACAGTGTGTCACATACAATTCTTTTAGATAAAATTAGAAGTTTGGGCATTGATGGCATTTCGTTTGAATGGTTTAGATCATATATTTCTAACAGATATCAATACGTTGAAATTAAAAATTTGACAAATAACAGGTTAATCTCAAGATCTTCTCCTCTTACAGAGATTCACCATGGGGTACCCCAAGGGTCTATTTTGGGACCGATCTTATTTCTCATTTATATTAGGGATCTGTCAATTCCATTTTCAACTAGTTTACACAGTAGTAATATCTGCCTGTATGCTGATGATGTTACTTTTAAAATCAGCAATTCATCTTTATCAAATTTAGAAAATCATTGTTCTGATACTTTAAATATGCTAAATACTTTTTTAAATTCTCATCAGCTCTTGTTAAATTTAAGCAAAAGTAATTTTATGGTTTTTACAACAGGAAAAAGAAAACAAATTGTACAGCCTGTAATTCAATTTCAAAATAATAAATTGGAAGAAATCACCACAACAAGGTTTTTAGGATTAATTGTAGACAAAAATCTTACATGGAATAAGCATGTTGACCAGGTAGTCAACAAAATTACTTCTGGTATCCATGCTATTAATAGAATGTCAAAATTTTGCTCAATAGAAACCTTAAAGATTCTTTATTTTGCTTTTATCGATTCATCAATATCTTTTGGCATAAGTATTTATGGCTGTACCTCTAAGCAAAACCTGGATAGAATTCTTACTCTTCAAAAAAGTGCAATCAGAATTATGTTAAATTTAGAATGGGATACTTCCGCTCGTCAATATTTTTCAAAATTGGGAATAATGACTGTGTATAGTATTTATGTTTTTCATACAATTTTACACACAAAAAAACTTTCTAATGCTAATTTGGTGCCTAAACTTGGTGATTGTCATAATTATTTTACCCGGAACAGAAACGAAATTGCTGTCAGTGTCCATAACTTGGAGCTCTTTAACAAAAAAACCACCTGTGCAGGGAAAAGGTTTTTGGACAAACTCCCAGCTGAGGTGAGGAATATTGATAATATTTCCAAATTTAAAAAAAAACTTAAACATTTCTTAACTGATAAAACGCTTTATGGTTTCGATGAATTGTAGATTAGTTTCATTTAGTTTTAAGCCTAGTGACGCCATTCAATGTATGCGACTGTATACCATATGAATAAAGATATTTTTTCATTTCATTTCATTCATTCATTCATGAGACCTACGGTAATAGCTTATTCCCTATATGGGAAATTCGCTAAAACAGTTTTCAAAAAATAAAATTGCATACACTAGTACTCTTACGGAATGACAACACTAGAGCTATTATGTATACTCTTAACCAATAAAAAAATTTTATTATATCTGACCATGGGAGATGGTCATGATTTTACTGTGACCGCAGAAGATATCCTTGATCTTGCCGTGACCGCTGAAGATATTCTGAATCTCGCTGACATTCGCAAGAAGACATTCAGGAGCTAAAATCAAGTTTTACCGGCGAAATTTTAAGATTCCCGCATTATTCCGGGTACAACTAACTCACACATATTTCCCAGTTTACCCGCATTCCCAATCTGGACACCCTGGTTTCTCAGATTTTATGCTAAGGGTCATATCATAATATGTATTCATTGATACCTATAATGTTTTTTTTTTTTTTGTGAAACAAGTTAACTTTCTTATTTGTAACAAGAGTTTTTTCTTTTTGCTCCTCCCGACATCCAACTTTCTGGCTGTTCAAATAAAATAGTCTGCAACTTTCCGCTGAACTTTTTTGTCCATTCCTTTTTAACAAAACAATTACTAGACAAGACTTTACTGATTGCACCTGAAATAATTCACCAACTGTAAAGAAGTTAGGCTTACCAGCTCAACTAAGTAGTGAACACAGTAAAATGTAAACAAACAGGAAAGAATTGTGAGCGTGTTCGATTTGCGGGGACTAGTGCTTGAAACTACGCATAAAATTTTGGGGAATTTGTTTTGATATTGGCTTCAAGAAGAAGCCTCTTCAAACCGTGGCTGGATATCATGGGTTTTACTGTATGTTTCCTAATTTCTTTACTTACTCTTACTCTTACTCCCATGGCCATCGATACCCAAGGTGGTATTTGACCTCGCCAACTGAATGCCTCCATTTCTTCCGATCTTCAGCATCTTCCTCCATGATTCTTATCTTCCTCATATCTTTGGTCACTTCATCTTTCCAATTTCTAATTATATCTTTCTAATTTCTTTAATTAAATTAAATTATAAATTCTTTAATATTTCTTTAATTTGATGTAGTGCTAAAGATTGTCCCCAAAATGATATTACAAATAATACATTAATTGAGAACACTTTTTTTTCCTTGAAAAGTGAAGTAATTTTTATAAAGCTTCGTGTATGAGGAAAACCAACTAGTGGACAGTTTTATTATACTTCAATATGGACATAGGCCTACTCTAGAACAATTCTGATGAACGAATTTCAATGGGATAAATTTAATTGAATGTCCAAAAAAGTTGCAAGAAGAATGAAACTTTCAGAATATTCAAGATTTTTCTTTACACAAAGATGTTGCATTGGACATTACCTATTAATGTATTATATTATATTAATAATACACAATATATAAAATTAAATAGTAAAACACAAGGAGTGAACAGTGTGCAACTTCCAAATTTGGAGAATTAAGTGAAAATTTACTTTTTGAATTGGACAAGTTGTACAAATGCTTTAAGAGGACAAATCAGTGTAATTTGAAATTTGTTTCAGGTAAAGAAGAGTTTACAGACAACGACTTTAAGTTGTACTGTTCTTGTTGTCAGAGTTTTGCAGAAGAATTCAAAACTCTTTATGAAGACATAACCAAACTATTTTCGGACAGACTTAATGTAAGTCTTTTCTCTGATGTTATTCATTAAAAGATGAGTAGCTCTTAGATATGCTACTGATGTATTTTTGGAAGCTGTATCTAATCCATATGTGGGGCATTAATCTAAAGTGTAAAGTAACAGTACTAACCATTTAGAATATGGTATCTTTGAGTAAATAGGGAGTAAAATGTTTTGCTTAAATAAATTGAAATGCCAGAGTGAAAAGATGTTGCTACTAGACTGCCCATAGTGAGTTTGCCTAATTTTTGTACAAGGAGTAATAGTAATGATTGGAGAAGCCCTTTAAGGGTTCTTTTTAACAGATTACAGTAGATCCCCTCTTAACCAACCCTAACGGGACTGGACCTAAGTCAGATAACTCAAAAGGACGGTTTAAACGGGCAATCCCTTAAAACTTAAAAAAATGGAGTGATATTTGGAATTATATAATCACCATTCTAAAGTCGTGCGGGTATGATTTACAAAATAAATTACACTTATCCCCTTTTTTCTCAAGCAGGCCTATTGCCGATAGAAGAGTCAAAAATAAACACAAAACATGGTAAAGTCAAATAATTTCAAAGGAATAAATTATAGTCCTAGGCAAGAGTCAATAAAATACTATCTTTAATACCTTTAGTAATATTAATTTATGCTTTGCTTTTTTATGGCTTCACGTAATAATTCATAATAGCGATAGCGATTTCATTGTCACTTGGTACAGAAAAAAACACCTGAATACCATGTGAGTTGACGTCATATCAAATGAAGTGCATTGATTGGATGATTAAGGTTGCATAAAAATTTAAATTGATTTATCAGCTTACAACAGCAGATTTGACAAAATAATATAATTAAGTTTGTTAATTTAAAAGTTTGTTAATTGTTTTGGTTTAATGAAAAAATATTGAATTCATATGAATATTTACCTAAATGGATTCATAACCTTAGGTAATATCACCCTCCATCTAATAGGCTGAATGTTTTGTTCAAACAGTAAAGAAATCACTTAAATGTATGGAAAATAAACCTGGGACCATCAATGAAAAAATACATAGATTTCTAAAAAAAATACATAGATTTCTAATGCAGATCCGCCAAGATCCTAATTCAACGGGAACCTCTTCATATTTCCTCATTTTAAATTATTATAATTGTATACATTCGTTTCACTTTCTGCCATGCCTGTCACCAAAGAGCTCTCAATAACACCTCATAAAATTGGTTTAGTGTTATGTATTAGGATCTGCTTTGGCAGTATGCTACTGCTCAGTGTTGCCAAACGTTAGGTAATTATTGAAGAATTAAAACTTGTTTGAGTAGAAATTTGGCAATACCCAAATGGGTTTTTTTTTAAATTTAAGGTTTGATGCTTGGATTGGACATATAGGTCTAATAACATTATGGATTTAACAGAACATTATGGACGAGTGGGAACAGAGGAACGCTGGAAGATGTGGCAGCTATAGTTCTGATGATGAACTTCAACCGGCAGACTTGGCACTGCAGAACATCTACTCCTGTATTGCCTCAGACTAGTGAGTAGAAATCAACTAGGGGTCTGCGGGCCAGACTTTTAAAGTTCGGGTCGGGATTATATTTCTGATGTTTGATGACACTTTCCCTTAGCTGGGCAGAATCAAGTTTTAACCATCCATTCTTGTTGCTATCTACTTTTAGTTGTGTATAAACATTGAGCCACTTTAGTTCTTTTTGGAGATGTTCTGTACGCAAACAAGAAACTTTTAAGTTTTAAGTAAGGATGGGCCGATTCCGATTCTCGATACCTCGTTACCTTCGATACCAGTGGCATCGAAGAACCGCCTATACTCAATACTTTGCTTCATTGTACTCAATACCAATTCTGAAAAGTGAGGTTAATTTGATACTAAACTCAACTGACATTGAAGGTTGTAAAGAGTGGCACATCATAGTTTATTTTGAATACTCTGAAGTCAGCTAATGTAAATAATTCCAAGTTTATTATCTCACATTCGTAATAGTTTTATAATCCAAAATAGCTTGCCTTTGCATTTCACAACGCGTAGCAATGACAGAATGATAAGCTGTGTTCAGTTGACAACAGGACAACAGTGACTAACAGAACACACACCAGAACTCTAGTTGCCGCCATGTTGTCAGATCAAAGGCAATGTTGCCAGATGGTACAAGCATTTAATATATACATATAATACACATAAGGTGTATATTGTCAATGGTACCAGTTTAACTCACGTTTTCTAACTCGAAATTGTGGCATGGCTTATAATTTTTTGTGAAAATGTGGCAAAGCTTATAACTAGAGGTGTGTGGATATCCGAAAAATAGGGTCGGATTCGGTTCGGTTCGGATATCCGTAAACTGAACCGAGCCCAAATTCGATATCCGACACTATCCGTTATATATCCGACTTTTTCGGATAGACAATATATTTTGACGTTTTGGACAGAAAACTAAATCTCCATAACCATCATTAGTTTCCCAGGACAAAATTACAGCAATACGTTCCAACCTAACAGCAAACGGCAAAGAAGCCGTATGATGCAATACAGATAACTAGTTTAGTCGTTATCGGCTATTTTGCTTTACGATTAGATTCATCTGGAACGAACAGACATAAAGCAGAAAAGAACTACCATGGTCAAATTAAAGTCAACTCGTGCTTGTCTTGCTCCTGATACTAGGGGCGTTGCGTATTAGTTTTTTTTTACAGTACTGTTTCAAAGTAGAAAAATCTAGCCTACTACTGTGATGTTACGTTAACAATAAATTTAATGTTTCCCGAAAAAAAGTCAGAATAGAAACAAAAGAAAGGCAACACAATAGAAGGGTGGGAGGGCTTGGGCAATGACCTCAAAAGGAGCGCAGGTATTGAGTCAAGTAGGACCGGAGGGGGAAGGGGTGGGTAAGACCTTGAAGCTATATATAGACTTGCACTACTTCCCTAAACCTAAAGGACTGGCCGGCGAGTGGTATTCAAATCACAGAACAAGATATGTTGTTTTTTGGGTATTCATTGCCCGGTTTGACTTTGGATTGTCTTACTGTGTAGAAACTTTAAATAATAAAAAATAAAGTTAGAACTAACCACGATTATTTAGCATTGATTGTGTACATATTAAATGATTAAACGATAGGGACCGTGGATATATACAAAATTTTGTCATGATTTTAATTTCAACATCAAAATACAATATTGCACAATCGTGATATTTTAGGTCATTGACCTTTATTATGCATCCGGTATTGCTGTTTCAGAAGAGAAGCACGTTGAAAAATTATAAATTGATATTCCCGTAGTTAAAAAGAATTATTTTATAAACCTATAAAACAAAATCATAAAATCTTGCATAAAGATAACAATAATAGAATAATTGTAAAAAGGGTATAAAGATAACAACGTCATTATTCTTTCTCTTTGTTCTTCTATTTCTTGGGTTTCCCTTCATCACGCATTCAACAAGTTGCCATGGTTACTAATCACCCATGTCGTTATCAGCTTTTGTGACATAGCGCACAGCAGGGGGTAAAACTTGACAAAAATCGGTAAATTTTTACCTATTATTTAATTACCAATGAATGTACTTTATTGGTATTTGGTACTGTATTAATAATCAGTCAAAATGGTCGATTTTTGTCAAATTTTATACCAAATTTATTGAAATTTCAAGGTGAATATTAATAAAACAATTATTACCAAATATTTTTATTCATTTAAAAGATTGATTTGTGGTATTGGGTTCCCCACTGAGTGCAGCCAAGCGGCACTAATGAGGGTCGGACCTTCTTGGGGGTGAACAATAGACGGCTTTTATCAGACCCGACCCTCCCCAGTGGTCTGGAGAAAGCTTGTAAACAAACTATTGCACAAGCGTGACTTGACATTGGGCTGCTTCAACTATAATTTTTTCAAATGAACTGTGATGTTTCAAAATCAAAAACAATAATTTGGGACCATACTGCTTAACAATAATGGACTGCAATTAAATGTTGAACATACAATCCATTTTTAACAAACTAAGATTATACGATTAAAATACAATTATAAAAATGATCTTGGTATTTTACTTGGGGTAATGAAGTTATGTAGGCTAGTGTAATTCTCGGTTCATCAAGGTTCTACTGAATTATGTTTGGCAGTGAATAAGAGTAGAATGCAATTTATAAATTCAGGGATGCACACCTTTTACAGAGTTATAAAGCCTAATTGCCCAACATCAAATCGTTAGCTAGAGCCCAGCTTAGTGCATTAGTGATGTTTTCTAAACTTGGCAAACCCGCAAAATGCCGCTTAAGGCCAATAATCCGTTCCAAAAACATAAGGAAATACAATGTGAAAATAAACTTGAGATCGAACTCCTTGTCTTGTGAGAACCAGGAAACAACATAAAACATAACCTCAAGTAAACAAGCCCAAACGTTTGACATCAGTCCTGCTGAGCTAAGGTGTTGTGTGAAGATTTCGGCTGCTAGTTTACTTAATTCAAGCAACCAACTTTTGAAAATAAATGTTGTGAATTGTGATTTTCAAGAGAGAGAAAACTGTGGACTTGGCTAATTTGAAATTCTATAATTCAAAATCGTCATTTAAGTTTATTTACACCTAGCTTTACATTGTTTTATAGGTTAAAAATACATATGCAGCTTATTATTAACCGCGCCGAACTATACGAATCCGAAAATATCCGAATCCGAACCTCCCAATATCCGATCCGATCCGAACCGAGCCTCAACTATCCGATCCGAAATGAAATTTCACTATCCGCACACCTCTACTTATAACTGATTTATAAGCTACTAGCTGTACCCGCGGGCTTTGCCCCGTTTAACTTCATAAGTATTCGTATGGCTCAATTTCGTCCTGGTTGAAGTTCGTTCGCTACGCTCACTCACCTTTAGGTTGGAGCTCGTTTGCTGCGCTCACTTGCCTTCAGGTTAGCTCGTTCGCTACGCTAACTCGCCTCCAGGTTAAAGTTTGTTCGCTACGCTCACTCACCTTTTGGTTGCAAATTAGCTGTTGTCATAAATTTAAAAAAAATAATAGTGCTGCACCCTGTTGGTAATCCTTGTAACTTTAACCCTAGCAGTGGCCAACCGTCGCCTGGTGACGGTATGACGTTGATGCTTAGAATGGCCAATGTCGTCTGGTGACGGTATGGGCCGAAATTTTTTTAACGGTAAAAAAACACTTACAATCAACTCAGATGAGAATAGTATATATACCATTCGAAAGATCACATTCTGAACTTTCATTTGATTACATAAACAAACCCTGTAGCAGGTATATAACAATGTCACGACGATTAGAAATCAAATGAAATTTTGGCGCGGTACGACTTTTGCAGCCGACACTTGGGAACTGGCAAAACACGTCTTGTTTGGCATTACCCTGCTCGGGTAATTTTCGTCTTTGGATGTTGCGGGTGGTACCACTGGATAGCCATTGATTTTATCTTCATTGTGGTAGTGATATTTATAACTAAATATTGATTGCACAATCGGTACGATTTTATGAAAACAGCTGTTTTCGAAATTTCTAACAAATGGCCAACAGTCGTCTGGTGACAGTATGGAAAATACGAATTATATACAGTGAAAGTTATTATTACTAGTCATATAGTATATCATTTTGAAGAGGAAGAAATTTAGATTCAGAGAGTGGCAGCCCTGCACTCAGGGTTATTTCTGTATGCTCGCATGTAGACGACAAGTGAGTCATTACTGCTACAGTCTGTCAGCTGTCTTGTATTGCCATTGTTTGTTTGTGTTGTTGCCGGTAATAGTTTTATCCGCGATTTATTACTAAATATGTTATTAGTTTCGTAGTGTTAGTGTTAGTGAAGTGTTGTGTGTGTGTATAACAGTAATCTTCATGCATAAATATTACTGAATTGTGTGAAATAGTGTTCATAAAAGGTTGTATTTTGTTAGCATCATGTCCTAAAATGACGATTCTGACATTCAGAGATTGTTGTACCTATATAATGATATACCCAAGGTGTTATACATTTTTATAAAGGTAAATGAATACACTACAACATGTTTATAATTGTTTGGGGGTAAAAAATTTTGTAAAAAAGTTATAGCCTATACTAAATAGGCCTACTACTGTATTTTGTTAGCATCATGTTCAAAAATGACGATTCTGACATTCAGAGGTGCTATATATGCTATATAATGATTTACCCAAGGTGTTATACATTTTTATAAAGGTAAATGAATACACTACAACATGTTTATATTGGTTTGGGTGTAAAAAATTTGGTAAAAAAATTATATAGGCTACTAAATACTGTACACTCCATTTTCTGGAAATGCGCAAAAAATTCAAAACGTTCTCAAATTGATACATAATCATAGGTGAAAATAACTTTTTACCATCATACTTATGACTTTTTTGGATTCCTTACTTCATTAGCTTTACAAATATGTAGGCTACATATCATCAGCCTACATAATGTTTCACAACACAAGCAAACACTGTAGGCTATAGTTTACACTTATTTGCGGTTTTGCGGTTATTGTATTATTATGTCCC